TTACCCCCCCCCCCCCCCAAATAGCCAATGAACAAATGGGTTGGCCAAAATCTTCCAAACGTGTGTAAAGGTTTTACGAGTAACTGTTATGTCTGTCTTTCCCTCGCTTTTGCAAGTAACATCCTCGCTCTCTCTGGCTCCTTGTTCTCAAACTCAAGCTTAAAAGCGGCGAGCCAGATTTCCTCTGAGTTGGGTATAGCAGCGTAAGCCTCTTGGAGAATAGCACGAGCCGCCGGAACATCCCCAGCAAGCCACTTTTCCTTGGCACCCATGAGCCAGAGAACCTCGGCCTGAGGAACATATGTCACCGCCTTACGCAACAATGCATCGAGCGACTCCCTGGTCCCGTGGCTCTTCTCGAGCTCGGCAGCTCTTCTCCAGATACCCTTCTTAGTCAAGAACACCGTAAGCGCGTGTGCGTATATTGCTCTCGCCGTTTCAATGGAGCCCCTCTTCTTGCACTCCTCTGCATCAGCGACCCATGTCCTCTTCCTATCCTCCTCCTCAACCCCGACACCGATCGTGTTCTTAATAATGGCCTGGCATGTGGCAACAGATCCTGCTCTCTCGGCAGCCTCTGCCTCCTTCATCCAGCTTTCTCTGTCAATGTCAACCCCTTCTCTCTGCAGAGTCCTTATACCCCTCTCGATAATCTTCCCCACCATGGCTGTATTTCCATTCGCTTCCTCTAACTTAGCCGCCGTAATCCAAATTGCCGGCTCCTTAGGTAGCTTCTCTCTAGCTCGATTCAAAACTTTCTTCGCATTATCATAGGTTTCTAGTCTCGCAAGTGCCAGCCACAGCTCCACATGCAAAGGACAACACTCTACAGCCCTATGAAGCAAAATCCTAGCATCTTCCTCGTTAGCCAGCTCCACAACTGCCTTCCACAACCTGACCGAGTCGGGAATATGCTCCAGCCCTTTCCTCAACACTCTGCTCTTGTTCACGCTGTCGTGTTCAAGCTTTGCAGCATGCAACCATAACTTCACCGAATTAGGTATCAACTTCACTCCCCTAGCAATCACAGCCTTGGCATCATCAGGACTGGCCAGCCTACACGCTTCCAACCAAACATCCTCATTCTTCGGACACTCCTCGCACCCCCTCTGTATCAACTGCCTAGCTGCCTGAATCTTCCCAGCCACCTCCTCAAGCCTTGCGGCAGCAATCCAGCCAGGCGGGTGCTTCGGATTCGTCTGAGTTACACTCTTTAACAACAACCTTGCCTTCTTAATATCAGAAATTTCGGCGTCACTAGTGATTTTCATACTCTTCAGGTCGGTTAAGTAACCTTTAGGATCCACAACAGTTAATCCGGAAACCGAGTCTGATAACCTGTCAAGCTTCAGAGACAAGACCGTGCCTCTTCCCTCACCGACAGCAGTCAAATCCGTGACCGGCGTCTGCGACCACGGCGTCTCGGTCCCACCGGCAGATCTGCTCTTTGGGTCCAACGCCGTTACATGCTCTTTTTCCTGCCTCGCCTTCTCCAGAAGCGTGTCAGGTACAGGGACAAAGCTCTCGAACCTCTTCTTCTTGTTCCTCAACGAGTAATCCCCAATCTCAGGAATACTCTCCCACTCATCCGCAGACAAGGTATACAATTTCCTCTTCAAGTCTGCAAATTGCTCAGTAATCTTTGGGTTTGAAGCTCTGTACTTCTCGATTTCCTCCTTCAACTTGGCTTCTCTACGATCCTTCCTCCTCGAATCCATCCTCTTATCGATCGCCTCCCAGATCGCATCAGCCTCTTTGTCATCCTCATCGTACTCAGCATTCGAGAACAATCCCGCGTCATTCCCTTCAAACTCATCGAACTTCTGATTCTCATCATATCCCTTCTCATCACCTTCTTCGTCTTCATCCTCCTCCCCGGGCTTCCCCCTCCCGCGACCTGCCCCAGGAGCAGCCACCGCAGCAGCGGACCGGTCAGGCAGATCAGGAGCCGCACGAGCAGGTCCAATATCGGACCGCGTAGTAAACCCAGTGGCTCCACGACCCAAACCCGCAACATAGTTTTGCGGTGGCTTCGAGTTCAGGAATTCGAGGCGAGGTTTCGGCGGAGCCGCTCCCTGGGTGCCACCAAAAAGAGGGACGTGAACTACAACGGTGGCAAAACGACCAACCCCGAGTTCGGACAAGAAGACCGAACCAGAATCCGGCGAATCTCCGCACAGAAGGCTAGGGTTTCGTAGGCGGAGAGAGCGGCGGAGAAGCGGCGGCGGAATACCAATGCAACGGTGAGCCCATTGCTCGAAGGCGGAGACGGTGGTCGTGCTAGGGTTCACATCGACCGAGAGGGTCTCCCCACTTGGAATGGTAAGGAACACCATGATTTTAGCTTCGGAGATTTTTCCGATCACTGACACGAAATGGTAAATCTGGGGGTTGAAGGTCGGTTATTTAGTTCCCTATGGAATTGGAAAGTCGGTCTCTGAGTTGAAGGTTGGGCCAAAAGCCCATATAAATCGGGCTTTAGGGTTAATACTGGGCCTTTCTTTTAATACGACGACGTAAAAAGAAGTGGAAACGAAGGAAAAAAAATGTAAAAATGCGGTGAGCGTGGATCGAACACGCGACCTTCAGATCTTCAGTCTGACGCTCTCCCAACTGAGCTATCCCCGCTTTGTATTTATCATGTATAATTAGAAAAAACAATAGAGACTGTTTTGAACTGACAGCTCATCTTTCCTTGCAAGAAACACACGCACTTTTCTTGATTCTGGTTAACCCATGAAGAGAATCATCCAATCCAGCTTGTCACACCATCTACAATCACCAACCCTTATTCCAAGATTCTGTTGATGAACAAGGAGACGAAAGACGAGTCGGACATCTGGAGATACAAGAAACAAAAAAGGAGACATGACTTCATTCAGAGGGTTCGTCACACACATGAACGTTGGGTGATTGAGCAGAATCTGGAATATATCATCACTAATTTTTCCATATTCCTTATGTACATATACTATATCTTCAGTTTCCTTTTTTTATTATTAGAAACCTCTTTATATAATGTAAAGTGTATCTCTATCAAATATACAGAATTTTCTTCCTCTCCTAAAGTCTTCTTCGTGTCTTTCTTCTCTGCAACTCCCACTTCTGATTCTTTCTGCATCTCCCCTTCACATCTTGGCTTTTGATTTCTTTATGGTATCAGAGCCTGGTATTCATTGTGATTGAAGATATCGATTGCTCTCTTGATCTCACGGCAGAACGAAACAAGAAAAAGGAGAGAGAGTTGAGCAAGAAGAAGAAAGACGAAGAACGAGGGAAGGAGGAAGACTTCTGAACTTCATTGATGGAGTCTGGTCGGCTTGTGGGCAAGAGAGGATCATTGTGTTTACCACTAACCATTTGGAGAAACTCGACCCTGCTCTGATCAGGAGAGGAAGAATGTGTTGATGAACAAGGAGACGAAAGACGAGTCGGACATCTGGAGATACAAGAAACAAAAAAGGAGACATGACTTCATTCAGAGGGTTCGTCACACACATGAACGTTGGGTGATTGAGCAGAATCTGGAATATATCATCACTAATTTCTCCATATTCCTTATGTACATATACTATATCTTCAGTTTCCTTTTTTTATTATTAGAAACCTCTTTATATAATGTAAAGTGTATCTCTATCAAATATACAGAATTTTCTTCCTCTCCTAAAGTCTTCTTCGTGTCTTTCTTCTCTGCAACTCCCACTTCTGATTCTTTCTGCATCTCCCCTTCACATCTTGGCTTTTGATTTCTTTAGATTCCACGTCCTGATCGGCCATACGACACAAATTCTGAAAGTCATTGTTTTGACGCCTGAGTAATTGATGAGTGGTGGTGACAATGAAGAAATGCATTCATCGGCTAAAATAATCCAAGGGATACTGTTTACCCGCTTGATGATTAGTTTAATAGATGGCATCACCAAATTCCAGGTACATTCTGTAAGCATCTCGATCATGGGAGTAGTAGCTTTTCACCACACAATCTGTCTGGAACCCCAGTTTCTTGTACAGATTAACAGCCCCAGTCCTCGTGGGGTCGACGTGAAGCGAAACCCTTTCCACCTTTCTGCTTCTGCACTTCTCAATGGCCGCTCTCAACAAGGCTTCTCCATAGCCTTGTCTCCTGTGATCTTCCTTCACTGCATACGATACGATGAGAGAGATAACATCAGAAAGAATAACTCATCACAAAGTCTTCTGAGGAATTTCTTCGAACAATCTGTGTGCGCAAAGAACAACAAAGATCAAACCCTTGTATGAAGACATCTTCCCCTCGTGAATTCATTTAACAGTCTGCACGCGAATTATGGTTTCCCATAGATTTCAGATGAACATGGCATGTATTAACATCGTTCATTCGCGATTTTACCAAAAAAAAATCCGATATTTTATGTGGGCATTTATCATTGCGTAATTCCGTCGAACACAAACGGGGCATTCAGAGGGAGAGAGAAAAAAAATCAAAAAACTTTGTAAAAGAACCTGCAAGCTTGGTGATGGAGGCGGAAAGAGAAGAGGGCCAGGAATACATGGCGTAGCCCACCACTTCTCCCTCGGCTTCAACGTATAGCAAACCGGCGTTCTTCTTTCGCAGCTCTTCCTCCAAAGTTCGAGCAAGCGATTCGTGCTTTGGAAACGTTTTCTTCTCCAATCTCACGATCTCTACCACCACATCGGCCCTGTTGGCCGAACCTTTATCCAGCTCAACCACTCTCCCTCTCTCCATATTTGAAAAGCTTCGAGTTTTGAGGAGTTCTTATGGGCAAAACTCTCTCGCCTTGATCAATGTAATGGCGGCAATCCATTCTATACGGCTTTATAGATTATTCAATTATGAAATTGGCCCACAAGTTATATTTTTTCACGAAATAATCCTCATAATAGAGATTGAGACCCCCCCCCCCCAAATAGCCAATGAACAAATGGGTTGGCCAAAATCTTCCAAACGTGTGTAAAGGTTTTACGAGTAACTGTTATGTCTGCCTTTGCAGTTCATCTCTATTATTGATATCAAATCCCAGAGTACACAGAGGCTTGGTTACAAGGGAAATGCATAACAAGATACAGACGAGACCTTGCTAATGTCCTGGAACTTTGAAACAGATGATTAAGAAGCTTTGATCTCGCCAAAAGGAGAAAGCTTTCACTCGAAGTCATCATCGGTATCGTTCCAAACTGTGAGCAAGAGAAGGCAAAAAGGGTACCTCAAAACATATCTGAAAACGAACGTGCTTGACGTGTAGGGGCAGATAAAAGGAACTATCAGAAGGAGAAGAACGAGGAAGAAGACGCTGCCCGATGCTATCAGAAACACCGAAAGCCAATTCTGGTCACCCACCACTACGAGCAAACCAGCCACAAAGGCCAGAGACATCGACGTAAAAGCACAGCCGAGAAGCGGAAGTACGAACTTGAAGACAGTGAGGATAAGCTGGAGATCACCCAGTTGTGCCCAAATGAGAGCAACCGTTGTCAGAACTGCGCTGTACATTGCTGTTGTATTCGAGACAACAAACACTTGCCGTGCAACTTGTCTGAAATGATTCGCTACGTTCATTTCATTGTCCTCAAGTACCCTCGGGATCTTGAAAGCTGCAGAAAACGCCATTGTGGCAACGAGTATAGCCAACAACAGCAGAGTGTTGACCCTGCCTTTATAGTTCTTGGCTGTCGGTTTTTCCTGGAGCTGAAGAATTCCCATCTCTGATTGAGAAACATTTACTTCTTGAGATCCAGAATCAGAAGATTGATGAAGAAGTGGGGCCAATTTTAAAGCTCTAGGTGTATCAGCACATACCAAAGCCATCCAAGTTAGTCGCTGCAATGCAAACGCATATATAATGTCAAGTCATTCTATTGATATATATAGATATCGTATATATACAATGTCTCAAGGAAAGAAATCGAGATCTCAAGAATGTACATACCTCTCTGAAAGTGGGATTACTGTCCATATATTCCTCAGCCAAATCCAGAGCTGTGAAGCCTTCATTATTGATTTCTCCTAGGTTAACTCTTTTATCCCTCGAAAGCGTATGCACAACCCTGGGATAGGAGTGCATTGCGGCCAAGTGCAATGGAGTATTTCCTACATTATCCTTTTGGTTTATAAGCTTTCCATATTTTCTGTTTCCAAGAATGTATTTGACAACTTCATTCTGGCCACTTTCAGCTGCAGTGTGAAGAACGTTTCGATGTTCTACAGTGAGTAGCTCTATCGTGTCTGGGAAGAATTGCAGGATCACTTCTAGGGTTCCTGCGTGTCCTTTCCTGCTTGCATTATGGATGGGAAAGAAACCATCAGGATCTCTTACATATGCAATTGCTTTAGATGTTCCAAATTTCTCTAACAGACAGCAAGCTCCTTCCTCATATCCAGTAAAAGCGGCAAATGAGAGAGGACTTCTCCGTTCTTCGTCTTGTGATGTGATGAGTTCTGGATAGGGATCTAGCAGAAGATCCAATATCTCTGCCCACATTTTCAGAAGAATTGACAGAAATCACCCACCTTTAAGATAAAGATTTAAAAGAAAAAAAAAAGACCGTAAATGAAAGGAACCTCTTTTCTTGCTTTTGATCGCAGCATGCACGGCTGATTTCCCTTCAAACGACACATGAACTGGACTTTGAAGCATCCGTGTCACAAGTAAAACATTCCCAGCTTCAGCGGCCATAAACAAGGGCGACACTTCCTCATTGTTGAGAATAAAGGGCGTTCTCCGGTCTTGTGCAACGAGATTCCGAGCAACAGCTTCATGCTTGGCTTTCATTGCTAGGTGCAGTGCAGTGTTTCCTGTATTGTTCTGCACTATAGAATAATCTCTAACTCCTACCTTACTTGGTCCTCGCAGTACAATCTTCATTTCAACTGGAAGCTTAGTCAGGAATTCAATGAGAGTATCCACGACCGATGCATGGCCTGCAGCAGCTGCAACATGGAGAGGAAGGTCCCCGTTGAAGTTTGGCCTTACGAGAAGACCTTGGTAACTCTGAGGTATCGGTTCCCAGTTATTCACAATTCTTAGCTCATAAACTATGATGTGCACCACAAGGTTGGTATGACCATAGATGGCAGCAAGGTGCAGGATCGAATTTCCTTCAGGGGTTACTCTTCCAAGAACAGGAACTTCAATATCCTGCAGTATCGTCTCAAATTCTTCAATGTTACCTTTTGTTATAGCCTTATATGTTCTAGGGTCCATGGAATGAACGTTATCATTGGGCAGAGCAACAATGGCAGCTTGTCTTCTGCGTAAAGCCATGGCCCTGGCTCTTCTATGCCTTAGCACTGCAATTTCTATGTCAGACTTTCCCATGGATCTCGGGTCCCGAGTCTTCTGCTTAAAGTCTTGACCTGTGCCCTGAATATCAGAATGAGATTAAGCAGAGAAGGTAAGTGACAAACAAGAGATGAAAACATTATCAGAAAGCAAAATATGAAGTGACTGACCAAAAAGGCCTCTTGACTATCTGAAAGCAGCTTGTGTGAAAGAAATAAGAAGTCAGAAACGGGGATTTAGCAAAAGATTACTCCACTATGCAACGCTTTTATAAGCGGCCTTACTTATGATGTTACAAATAAATGAACGTGAAAAGAACATGGCTCCATTTGTTTAGGAACAAAGCGAACTAAATAATACCTTAAAAGACATTACCACTGTTTCATCATGTTGGTAGCTATAAGATATTGGTCAGTGGCCACTTGCTCGATTGTTTGTCTTCTGATGAAAAAGAGAGATCATGCAAGAACGTAGCAGCACGAACCCCACAAAAGCATATGCTTATGAATTTTTTCTCAGAATATAAATAAGCCAACATGTAGTATACTTCTATTTCCAGTTTATTGCACGTTAGGTTATTCACCACAACAAAATCCATCCTTTATATTCCTTGATTATAAAATTCACAAGTGTTTACAACCCCCAACCCAAAGTCGAGGAAGCAGGAGGACCTGAAAACAAGGGGCATGACGTATACACATATACATAAATATATATACACACACACTTCTGTCTCAGCCATTCAATTTCCTCACTTGCAGAACTTTCCTGAGAGAATCTTGTCTTGATTCATCAATTTTAACTGTTTGGGAAGCTCCAAGCAGCCTGAAACTTGAAAGATGCATCAAAAGAAGGTCATGCACAGGGCTGCAACTGATCATACTGTCACAATTCCGAAAGGGGAACCAAGAAGAACCAAGAATATATTCATCCAGAACTCACATAACATAAATAAATGTAACTATCAATTACAAGTTTTGAGTTTCAGGGGAAAATCTACATTTCTGTAAGGAATTCACCAAGCATCAAAATGACACAGTACTATTTCAGAAAGACAGCCAGATTTTAAAAACATACAATCTCAAAGAATGAGAAGAAAAGACCTCAGAGAGATGCTTCATTGCAAGAATTTGTCGATGCTAGCTGTAAGAGTTTGTGTGGGCACAGCGCCGATGATTGTATCCTTCTTCTCACCATCGACGAAGATCATAATCGTTGGGATGCTTCTAACCCCGTATTGGCTTGGGGTTGACGGAGAATCATCAGTGTTCAGTTTATAAAACTTGAATTTCCCGACATACTGCTGAGCGAGTTGATTCACTATTGGGTCAATCATTTTGCAAGGTCCACACCAGGGTGCCCAGAAGTCCACCAGCACAGGTCCTTCAGCCTTGAGAACTAGCGCCTCCCAAGTTGAATCGGTCACAATTGGAACTGAAAAAATTCATAGGTACAGATGGTTTCAGCATTTCAACATGGAGGCTTATAACCCAGAGATAAAGGCGCTGCCAGATATGTCTGTGAAGACACAATTCATGAAGGACAAATTCATTTCTCAACCAGAGTCCATAGACCAACTACTCAATCTTCAAACACACCTATGAAGAAAGAGTTAAGGATCATGGGTCAAAGGCAACAGTTGTGGTGTGCCTTCCTAGAGGAGATGGTTTCATCTTTTAACCAGAGAGACCACTGATAGTTCTTCAACTATACAAGTATTTGTATTTATCCATGATAGTCTCAGTTCTATGAAGCGCTTCTCTCTAGGTGACAAAACATGAGCAAAAAGACACATTTCCTCTCTGATGAAAACCCTGACGTACTATCTCATCACAGTGTGTGAGATCCAAATAATGAAATAGGTACCCGACAGACAGTGTAGCATTTTAGATCGCATAGGCATTTTTTCTCGAGCATCCAATATACGGAAAACCAATGCAATTCTATGGAAATGAAGATGCAATGATACATTGATATGCAAATGCAACCTTCTGTAAGTTTATACAAAAGGCAGAATTCTTCTTCCCACATAAACCTTGTTTCGAGAAGACATTCTCCCAAAGTCGCGTACTTTCAGTGGGATTGTTCCTACAAGTTCACCGATTTGGTACTGATTACCCTCACAAAGAACACAACTTTTAGCAGATTACAAATTACTGAACTTAATTAGCATAAATTGCGTCCCGAACATCTCAATCCGCCCAACAGGAAGCGCGCTCGATATTATGGTGACATACACTAATCAACGGCAACTAATTCGTTCGTATACGCTGATAGATTCCATCGCCCAACACTAATCGAACCAGACAATCACCAAAACGACCGAAATTATAGCAAATCAGGCAAGAAGTGATAGAGAGGGAGATAACATACTGTCTGTAGTAGTGTCCTGAGCTTCACACACGACGTTTCGTCGTTGTCGGGAAACCCTAAAACTCTTCGAGGTCAACGAAGCCGGAGAGAGAGAGAGGCGGGTCCTTAAACCTCCTGATTCCGGAAACACGGCACGCATCCGTCGAGCGGAGAGAGAAGATCTCGGGGAGTATGAGAGCGTCATCCCCGGCAGGAAGGAAAGCGGCGGTCGGGAGGTGCAGGTGAAAGCAGCCATGGAAGATAGAAGGGAAGGACGAGAGATTCCCCTGAATAGAGGTGCTATGATATCCAGAAAAAATAAGAGAGCAAAATTAATGAAATTCAACGAGATATACTTGTTGCCAAAACTAATGGATCGATGAAATGAAGCCCAATGGGCCCCAATGGTTCAATTGTTATTGGGCCTTCTTCAATAAAAGCCCAATTCATAACTAGCTTTATACGAAAACGGTATTACTACAACATGCCACCAACAACAAGAGACAAGAGACTCGTCCCTCTCCCTCCATTTGGTTTTGGTCATATGTCCCTCTTTGTTTTATTACTCGATTTTGTCATAAATACAAAGCCGTCGCTATCTTACATATCTAATTGGCATGGATGGTTTATCTGAAATTTCGAATCTTTTCTGTTTGGTACTGTTAGAAATCTGGGATATAAAAAGAAGAACAATAACAGAAAAGTAAATAGGAACCGGATAATTTTTCAAGGCTTGATACACTTTCCTAAAAACGTTATTCCGTCCTATACGAGCAAAGGACTTTCCGAAATACATCTTTGAGATACAATGAAGAGAGAAATGATCTTAGTTTGCTCTACTAAGAACACAAACACAAGAAATTGCAAGAAGAAGATGAACAAAAGGCTTTTGTGGGTGTTTTGCAAGAACAACCACAAAAGTGCTCTCAAATCTCTCAAAAACCGATTTAGATCTGTTCTATCTCGTGTTAGGATGTTCAGGGGTGTTAATAAACACTCCAAATGTCGAAAGGTGTGAAGAAATCGGAAGTTTTTCCCGAACGGTCGCGATTTTTCGCTCAATCCGAACTGTTCAGAAAAAACGGGCTGCCCGCCCGTTTTGTCGAGCTACCCGCCCGTTTATGTCTGAATTGCTCAGAAAAAACGGGCTGCCCTCCCGGTTTTTCCGAGTTACCGCCCATTTATTTATGAACTTTATTCCTCAGAAAAAACAGGTTGCATCTCATATTTTCGAGCTGCCCTCCCATTTTTTCTGAGATCACCTTTACGTTCAAAACCGAACGTAAACTCTTTCGACGTATCCTTAACACTTAGCCAATTCATACCACGTCTTTTACAAGCATTTATCTCCTACACCATACTTGTAATACACGTGAAACATGAATCCTTTTGAGAGATTCTAAATTTCCATTCATTTACTCTAAAAATACCAACATGTACCATCTCTTATTTCGTGATATTTTATGTGCAAAATATTTCAAACTCTGATATATTTCTTTTTTTTTCATATTCGAATATATTTGTGTTGACAAAAAGAGTGATTCCAGAATAAAATATAACCTGTCCGGTAATCTTTTGGACTGGACCCCGAAACGCCTCGTAACTCTCCCTGAAGGGCCGGACGAATAATACAATATCGCGACACGGACGAATAATACAACATCGTGACAGTAAACTTCCACGGCTCTGCACAACAGCCGACAAGCCACACATTATCATTATATACACCATCTTAGTTTATGAAATCTTTCCATTCATTTCAATGCGAGTTTACTCAACTAACTAACGAGAGAGAGGGAGAGAGCTAATGGTGAAGCTGACGAAGAGGGTCGGGGTCGGGCTGTGGTGGCGATGGTCACCATATATGGCACGATAGAGAGCTTATTTCTTCGCTCCATGCCCGCCTTCATGTACTCTACACTCCTACTTACGTACCGTTGTTCCCCCTTTTATCGGGATTTTCTCCATGCATGCATGCATGCACTTCGTTGTTATACATATATATATAATGTGTAATAAACGTATTATAGTGCGTAAAATTACGATGTTGCTGACTTCGAGCTTGTCAGCGGTGGGAGAGGTGTGGAAGAGAGGAAACGCAAACGCGGGTTGGTCGCCAAACTCCGCGATCAGATAACCGGATCCCTCGTCGCCGGTTTAGTCGCTCTCATTCACCGCATCTTTCATGTTGATCCTCTCTCTTCACTCCCTTCTTGACCCGTTCTCCTCCATATATCTTACACACACACACGCACATATATATAAATTTTTATATATAATTACAAGGATTTCGAATGTATTTATTACGATTCTGAAAAATGAAATGAATAATGATGAGGTCCAATAAATTTGTTGGTCAATCGAATATTTTTCTTTTTGTGAAAGTTTGAGAATCACATGGTCACATGCGGCGCGCTTTTCAGAGTAAAAGGGAAGATTCCAAACTGAGTTAGAATCCCGCATTCATTTTTAAAATTATATTTTTTAAAAGAAATATAGTATATTCGTTATATGTGGTAAAAATGACAAAAATATATACGTTAAGGTCATACATATACAATTTTAATTGTACATTTTATGTCATTCATCACATCGTTATTATGTTTTGCATGATACTGTAATTATATTTTTACCGTTTTATTTACTAGTCTCGAGAATGGTGCGTTAAAAAGGGCAAGAAAGTCCACAATATATTTTTTGAAACTAAGTTCACATTCTCAGCTTTTGATATGAGTGGAAAAGGGACCCACGCGTTAGAATTCAAAGGTAAGTGACATGTTTTTCAAACGCCTAATTGCATCGTGGTTATTATGAAAATAACAATAATCTTATTGGAAATAATCTAATTAGAAAATTACAGAAGTGATCGCATTTCAAACGTAATTAAAATATCGAAATTGAAAATCAGTCCAAATAACAAACGAAAATTTGAAAATTTGGATAAAGAAACAAGAAAGCGACAGACCAGAATTGTCTTAATATTCTAATGTGTCAATTTTCATAGGAATGGACCATACTTGGCATGAGAAGTAATCTAATGGACCAATTCCTAATTTATATTTTTTATTATTTTTTATTTTACCTGCAACGTATGTACATAAAAAAACAGAGACTCCACGCAGTATTAATATATAGTCACATGAAAATTTAAATTTTCCATATTACAGTACTATTATTTATATGTAGTTTTCTCATAATTAGCGGAAAAAAGAGGAAATTTCCCAAAAAAAATTTAAGTAAAATAACTGAAACGCGGAAAGCAATACGCGAGTTTTGCGTCTGCCGTCGTCGTCGTCGTCGGGTCTAGGGAAGCTGAGAGATTTATCGGGCCGTTTCATTTCAATTTCACAAGAAAGAAACCCTTTTTTTTTTCGAATCAGAGAGAGAGAGAGAGAGAGAGATCCGTCAGATGCCAGTATGAGCCTCCGCCACCGCACTGGCCCGACCCGATCCGGGCCGCCGCAGGGGGCGGACGCCGACGAAGAGGCCTTCAACATCATCCCCGTCAACAACCTCCTCGCTGACCACCCTTCCCTCCGTTTCCCGGAGGTTCGCGCCGCCGCCGCCGCCCTCAAAGCCGTCGGCGACCTCCGTCGTCCGCCCTACGTCCAATGGCGCTCTCACTACGATCTCCTTGATTGGCTCGCTTTGTTCTTTGGCTTCCAGAGAGACAACGTGCGGAACCAGAGGGAACATCTTGTTCTTCACCTCGCCAACGCTCAGATGCGCCTCTCCCCGCCTCCGGACAACATTGATTCCCTCGATTCCGGCGTTCTCAGGCGGTTTCGTCGGAAACTCCTTGGCAACTACTCGAGCTGGTGCTCGTATTTGGGCAAGAAATCGAATATCTGGATCTTGGATCGGAGTCCAGATCCGAGGAGGGAGCTTCTCTACGTGGGTCTGTATCTCCTGATATGGGGCGAGGCGGCAAATCTCCGTTTCATGCCTGAATGCATCTGCTATATCTTCCACAACATGGCCATGGAGCTCAACAAGATCCTCGAGGATTGTCTCGACGAAAACACCGGACAACCCTACTTGCCTTACTTGTCCGGCGAGAACGCGTTCCTCAACGGCGTCGTCAAACCCATCTACGATACAATCCAAGCCGAGGTAGAAGCAAGCAAGAACGGAACGGCGCCGCACTGCGACTGGAGGAATTACGACGATATCAACGAGTACTTCTGGACGGATCGGTGCTTCAGCAAATTGAAATGGCCGCTCGATCTGGGAAGCAATTTCTTCAGGAACAGAGGCAAGAGCGTTGGCAAAACTGGGTTTGTCGAGCGCAGGACGTTCTGCTACCTCTACAGGAGCTTCGATCGTTTGTGGGTCATGCTTGTTCTGTTCATCCAAGCCGCCATTATTGTAGCTTGGGGGGAGAAACAGCCGTGGGAGACCTTGAAGTCGAGAGACGTGCAGGTGAAACTGCTTACGGTGTTCGTGACCTGGAGCGGTATGAGGTTCGTGCAGGCTGTTATGGACGCGACTACACAAAGCAGCCTCGTCTCCAGAGAAACCAAACGACTCTTCTTCAGGATGCTGCTGAAGACTATAGCAGCCGCAGCTTGGATCATCGCTTTCACGGTCCTTTACGCCAACATCTGGAAGCAGAGGAACCAAGACAAACAGTGGTCTAAAGCCGCTGAGACAAAGATTTTCCATTTCCTGTATGCTGTAGTGGCCTTTTTGGTACCCGAGATATTGGCATTGGCTCTGTTTGTGGTTCCATGGATAAGAAACTTTCTGGAGGGGACCAATTGGAAGATATTCTATGCATTAACTTGGTGGTTTCAGGGCAAGAGCTTCGTGGGTCGTGGTTTGAGAGAAGGTTTGGTGGACAACGTCAAGTACACGACTTTCTGGATCGTTGTTCTAGCGACCAAGTTCACGTTCAGCTACTTCTTGCAGATTAAGCCAATGGTTAAACCCTCCAAATTGCTGTGGGGGTTAAAGGGTGTGGTTTATGAATGGCACCAGTTCTTTGATAACAGCAACAGGTTTGCTGTGGTGTTATTGTGGTTGCCTGTTGTGTGTATTTACTTGATGGATATCCAGATATGGTACGCTATCTATTCCTCATTGGTCGGTGCTGTTGTTGGGCTCTTTGATCATCTGGGCGAGATTAGGGACATGGAACAGCTCAGGCTTAGGTTTCAGTTCTTTGCCAGCGCAATTCAGTTCAATCTCATGCCCGAGGAACAGCTCTTGAACGCCAGAGGCTTTGGTAACAAGTTCAAGGACGCCATTCACAGGTTTGCCCATGAAATCATTATTGTACCTTATAACTTTACTGAGCAAAACTTGACAATGCGAGTGCTTGATTAACTTAATATGCAGCAAATTTCCGTGCTTTACTGATCAAACTTGTGAATGCAAATGGTGAATTTAGCTACAATATTTACCTGTTCAGGCAATTTTTAACTTTGTCATGTAGTTATATGACCCCTGTGCTATTTGCAGGTTGAAGCTAAGATATGGATTCGGTCGGCCAATTAAGAAGCTCGAGTCTAATCAGGTCGAGGCCAACAAGTTTGCGTTGATCTGGAACGAGATAATATTGACTTTCAGAGAAGAGGACTTAATTTCTGACCGGGAAGTGGAATTGCTGGAGCTGCCACGGAATACTTGGAACGTGAGGGTTATTCTCTGGCCGTGTTTCTTGTTGTGCAACGAGCTTTTACTTGCGTTGAGTCAGGCCAAAGAGCTGGTTGATGCTCCCGATAAGTGGTTGTGGCACAAAATATGCAAGCACGAGTACAGGCGGTGTGTGGTCGTCGAGGCCTATGACAGTATCAAACATCTGTTGCTTTCTATCATCAAAGTTGACACTGAAGAGCATTCTATAGTCACCGTATTCTTTCAAATGATTGATCATGCTGTTGAGTCGGAGCGGTTCACGAAGGAGTTCAAAGTGGATCTTCTTCCGAAAATTCATGAAACCGTCAAAAGATTTGTGGGTCTGTTAAACGACGAGAAAAGGGATACCGGGAAGGTGGTTAATACATTGCAGTCACTTTACGAGATTGCAACAAGACAGTTCTTCATGGAAAGGAGGACAACTGACCAGCTGAGAGAAGAGGGCCTCGCTCCACGTGACCCGGCTGCAAAGCTGCTCTTTCAGAATGCTGTTAGGCTGCCCGATCCGAATAAAGAGGATTTCTACCGTCAGGTGAGGCGGCTGCATACGATTCTCACCTCGAGGGACTCCATGCATAACATCCCTGCGAACCTTGAGGCGAGACGGCGGATTGCGTTCTTCAGCAATTCGCTTTTCATGAACATGCCTCATGCACCTCAGGTCGAGAAAATGATGGCATTCAGTGTTATGACACCGTACTATACTGAAGAAGTTCTGTATGGCAAAGAGCAGCTCCGGAACGAGACTGAGGATGGGATTTCGACCCTTTATTACCTGCAGACGATTTATGTTGATGAATGGAAGAATTTCATTGAGCGGATGCGTCGGGAGGGAATGAAGTCAGATGACGAGATATGGACGAGTAAGCTGAGAGAGCTCAGACTCTGGGCTTCTTACAGAGGCCAAACTCTCACACGTACAGTTCGGGGAATGATGTATTATTACCGGGCTCTCAAAATGCTTGCTTTTCTTGATTCTGCTTCGGAAATGGACATTCGGGAGGGTGCCCGGGAGCTAGGTTCAATGAGTAGTTTGCGGAGAGACCAAGATGGTAGCTTGGATGGAGTTGACAGTGAAGACAACCCCTCATCCCTTAGCCGAGCCAGCAGTTCCGTCAGTATGCTTTTCAAAGGCCATGAGTATGGAACTGCGCTTATGAAATTCACATATGTTGTGGCTTGCCAGATATACGGGTCTCAAAAGGCGAAGAAGGATCCTCATGCCGATGAGATTCTGTATTTGATGAAGCAGAACGAAGCCCTTCGTGTCGCATATGTGGATGAGGTCCCTGCAGGCAGAGGAGAGACTGATTATTACTCTGTCCTGGTGAAATACGATCAGCAGTTGGAGAAGGAAGTGGAAATATTCCGTGTGAAGCTACCCGGGCCGGTTAAGCTGGGCGAGGGTAAACCGGAAAACCAGAACCATGCATTGATTTTCACTCGTGGTGATGCTGTTCAGACGATAGATATGAACCAGGACAGTTATTTCGAGGAGGCTCTGAAGATGAGAAACTTGCTTGAGGAGTACAGACGCTACCACGGGATCAGAAAACCGACTATTTTGGGTGTCCGAGAGCATATCTTCACGGGCTCTGTCTCGTCCCTGGCCTGGTTCATGTCGGCTCAGGAGACGAGTTTCGTCACTCTCGGCCAGCGTGTTCTCGCAAACCCGTTGAAGATCAGAATGCATTACGGCCACCCCGACGTCTTTGACAGGTTTTGGTTCTTGACTCGGGGTGGAATTAGCAAGGCTTCCAGAGTCATTAACATCAGTGAGGACATCTTTGCCGGATTTAATTGCACGTTGCGTGGGGGAAATGTTACTCACCATGAGTACATTCAGGTCGGGAAGGGACGGGACGTTGGGTTGAATCAGATATCGATGTTTGAGGCTAAGGTTGCCAGTGGGAACGGCGAGCAGGTTCTCAGCAGAGATGTGTACAGGCTAGGCCACAGGCTTGATTTCTTCAGAATGCTGTCTTTCTTCTACACGACTGTCGGGTTTTTCTTCAACACGATGATGGTCATTCTCACCGTATATGCATTCCTCTGGGGCCGCCTGTATCTGGCTCTGAGTGGCGTTGAGAAATCGGCTCTGGCAGACAGTACTGACAACAATGCTGCGCTTGGGGCAATCTTGAACCAACAGTTCATTGTCCAGCTCGGTCTGTTCACGGCCTTACCGATGATTGTAGAGTGGTCTCTCGAGGAGGGTTTCCTTCTCGCTATATGGAACTTCATTCGGATGCAGCTTCAGCTGTCATCCGTCTTCTACACTTTCTCAATGGGAACCAGAGCTCACTACTTTGGCCGAACCATTCTCCATGGCGGAGCTAAATATCGAGCCACTGGCCGTGGGTTCGTTGTCCAGCACAAGAGCTTCACGGAGAACTACCGGCTCTATGCACGCAGTCACTTCGTGAAGGCCATCGAGCTCGGGCTGATCCTCACTGTCTATGCTTCACACAGTGTGATTGCTAAAGCAACGTTTGTCTACATAGCCATGACTATCTCGAGCTGGTTTCTTGTGGTTTCATGGATAATGGCGCCATTCGCGTTCAACCCATCGGGATTCGACTGGCTGAAGACGGTCTATGACTTCGACGATTTCATGAACTGGATCTGGTACCAAGGCAAAATCTCGGCAAAACCTGAACAGAGCTGGGAGAAGTGGTGGTACGAGGAGCAGGATCACCTAAGAACCACGGGTTTCGCTGGAAAACTCGCAGAGATAATCTTGGACCTGAGATTCTTCTTCTTCCAGTACGGGATTGTTTACCAGCTCAAAATTGCCAATGGATCGACCAGCATCTTTGTCTACTTGCTCTCGTGGATATACGTCTTCGTGGCATTCGTCATCTACTTAGTCATAGCTTATGCCCGAGATAAGTACTCTGCCAAGGCTCACATCCGCTACAGGCTTGTACAGTTCCTCCTGATCGCGCTCTTCATAATGGTGATCGTTGCTTTGCTCGAGTTCACTTCCTTCAGGTTCGTCGACATCTTCACGAGTCTTCTGGCATTTATCCCTACGGGATGGGGACTGCTACTGATCGCCCAGGTGATGCGGCCCCTTCTGGAGAAACGCAAGGTTACTTGGCAAGTGGTCATTTCTGTGGCTCGCTTATACGACATCCTGTTTGGGATCGTCATCATGGCCCCAGTAGCGTTCCTCTCGTGGATGCCCGGGTTCCAATCCATGCAGACGAGGATCTTGTTCAATGAAGCATTCAGCCGAGGGCTTCGCATCATGCAGATTGTAACGGGCAAGAAATCAAAGGGTGATGTCTAAATCCGAAAAAAAAGGTAAGCTTTTCCGACATCTTACTTCTCATCTTACCTTAGAATCCAACCCTTATGGAACAATTTCTTGCTCCAAAATTCCTTGGGTTCGGTTCAAATGTCTAAGATTCTACCATTGACAGGTTTTGAATGAGCAGTGGAGGAGAGAGTTCATGCTTGTGTTCCAAGTCTTCGTCGTTTTCTTTTTGTTTCGGCTGATTTTTGTGGGAGGAGGCGTTCATATTCTGATGTTTCATCCACACAAGGACGGTTTGCGTTTTGTTTGTACGATATAGCTATAGCCCGGTTAGTCAGATATGTTTTTAGCCCATTGTCTTTGCCTTGTCCTGTGTGTATTTTTGAACATATGATTTGTGCGTATTTTTTCATTTCACTTTGTAGAGCTTTTATAGCCCATAGTTTGTTCAGTTCCCCGTTCGCATTATTTCACCAGTCTCACTCGTCTTTTTCTGGTCGGAGAATGCCGTATTCAATAACCGGCTTATTCTTCATCTGAAACATCTTCTGGTGATTTGCCCTGTCTTTTTTTTAATGTCTTTTACAGACCGGTATCGGCCTTTTGTTCGGGTTCTCGTGATCTTATCCAGAACTATGTCTGGGTCCTGACATGGATCCCAAAGGGGCATTTACTCTCTTTGTTGATGTTGACTATTCCCTTGGCCTTAGCAAAATGATTCTCAAGACAACAAGAAGAAGAAAGAGAGAGTATCCACGTTTTCGAAGACCCATCTGCACATTTTGCATGCCCTGTTTTCAAGTTCTGTGCTTAGGTTTGATTTCCGCCATTTTTCTGGTTTTTCTGTCCACAGCAGGACATGATGATCTCTCTCTGTTATAACGGCGGGAAGCTATGGAGTTCTCTGCTCTGGTCCTGAAATCTCTCCGTGTAAATCATTCTGCCACGTGTCGAGAACCCACGACGTGTTCGCCTTGATTAACAAAAAGTAATCAAAATCATTAACCAATTAAACTGCTTCTGATCTACCGTGTTCCCTCCCTCCCTCCGCTGCGTTTTTCCTAATTGTTAATTCGTGTTCTTTGATCTGTTCCGAGAAACCGCTTCAAGGTCTCTCGAGGTCCGATTCGATCCATTTCCAAGGTTTGGCTTTCTCGAAACGGAGAAGCGGAAATGGAAGATCCTCTGATTGACAGAGAGAGTAGTGGAAGGCCTACGGATCGTCTTTTCCGCAGATCAGAAGCCATTACTCATGGTTCCACCTTCCAAAAGGCAGCCGCGCTCGTCGATCTGGTTTTCCTCGCTAAACCCTCTTTTTCTCAATTTTCCAGAATTCCTAAAAATGGCTTGATTTGTGAAAGTCTCGCTGTTACTTACTTGCCATGCTTCTTGAGGGGATTTCCTCTTGATGTGTTCCGCTGCCTGGGGAGATTCGCTGACCCTTTTTTAGGGTTTGACTTATCGGGGTCGAATCTTTCGCTTTTGGGTTGGTGAATGTTCGTATGGAGTTGGTGTATATGCTGGGTTTTATGCAGAACATGCTTGAAAGGGAAATGAATGGATATTTTGAAATGATTCCGTTTATGTTCAAGGCTTTCTTCATTGGAATCTTATCAGTGGGATCAACTTAAGTTCAGTTAAATCTGGTATATGAAGGAATTGTCTTCTTCCACTTTTGTTCCATCTGATTAATGAAAGCTTCTGTCTTTATTCTTTTCTGGACGTGAAGTCTCTCTGTCCAATGGGCTCTCGGAGGAGATGGAATCTCTTCAATTTTTTTTCCTGGTTCTACGTGAATTTTTCGATTTTATATTACTTGTTTTTCTTCCCGAAAGAGAGGGATTAGTTATGTTGCATCTGAAATGTGGCTCATAGGCCGAAGATGGTATTGGTCTTCCCGAGCAAATACTCGACCAGTCGAGCTTTGGGGAATCTGCAAAGTACTACTTCATCTTCACACGTCTGGACCTTATTTGGTCACTCAACTACTTTGCATTGATTTGCCTAAACTTCTTCGAGGTCAGGACTTATTATGCTATGTCTTTAGTGTTGATGTAACTTGTGTAAGCCAAAAGAAAATCGTGACTTTGAAGTATAACGGTGTATTGCCTCTTGCAGAGACCATTGTGGTGTGATAAGAAACCTACTCCTTCTTGCAATGACAGAGATTACTATTACCTGGGCCAGTTACCATACTTGACCAATGCAGAAGCTGTTGTCTACGAGGCAAGTAGTTCATTTAGGTCTTCATGCCTTTATCTGAGTTTATTACCTAAATGGGAACTCTTTCGATTTTCTGTTCGGTCTTAGTAATTTGTCCCTGAGCCTGACTGTAGTGTAAATGGACCTAAGAGATGTATGAGCCAAAAATATACCCTTGGAAGTTGAAATGCTGCAATTCCTTTTGTATTATAGGCTTAGCATACATAAAATATTTTTCATGTTTTTTTAAATTAATATTCACTACCGATACTTATGTGTTTTGACTGTGCTTATCTTATTTTAAGAACTTATAAGTTTTGATTGTCCAACTAGGTAATTACCCTTGCTATACTACTTGTACACACCTTCTTTCCGATCTCCTATGAAGGGTCCCAAATTTACTGGAAAAGTCGGTTGAACCTTATGAAGGTAATTCCCCACGAGTTCCTCCACATTTTTTTTTTACTTCCTAAATGGTTTTCTTTATCTTATGAGAACTTTTCATCTCCTGAATTCCAGGTGGCTTGTGCAGTAGTTTTATTTATCGATGTGCTGGTCGATCTTCTTTATCTTTCTCCAGTGGCTTTTGATTTTCTCCCTTTTAGAATTGCACCATATGTGAGAGTGCTAATATTCATCCTAAGCATAAGGTATCCGGAAATATCCCCTTCTTTCTATCAGCTACGGGTAAAGTAAATATATGTTTCATGTCTTTCTACAATTAATTATAGAGACAAAATTCCTACAAGCTGTCATTTTGCTCATACATGCATTATTACATCTGTTTGTGCAACCAATAAGTCATTTGAAGAAAGTTCTTGTTCATCCCAAAGTTCTTTAAAATTTCCTTCAGGGAACTGAGAGACTGCCTCGTCCTTTTGGCTGGAATGCTTGGCACATATTTGAATATTTTGGTCAGCCATCTTTTTAATCGAATGATTAACATATTTTTTTTTATGGACTCATGTCTATTATCTTTCTGTATTAAACTCATTGCTTTGATTATTTCGACCGCAGGCTTTGTGGCTGTTGTTCCTTCTCTTTGCCAGTTGGATTGCATATGTCATGTTCGAGGACACACAACAAGGCTTCACCTTGTTCACTTCTTATGGCACCACCCTTTATCAGATGTTTATTTTATTCACAACTTCCAACAATCCCGATGTCTGGATTCCTGCGTACAAGTAAGTATTAGATCATCTGGTTTAGATGAAAGACCATCATCTGTTTGCTTGTTGGAGCTTCTTACAGTAATCCTATTGGTACTGTTTCTGTCTTTCGAAGGTCTTCACGTTGGTCATCATTGTTCTTCGTTCTCTACGTGCTGATTGGTGTCTACTTTGTCACAAACTTGATCCTTGCTGTCGTATATGACAGTTTCAAAGAACAGGTACATTGTTCTTGTAATGATAAAGTTGCACGTTTGTGTATTGTTTATGTATAAATAAAAGCAGACTACTCAAACTTTATCATTTCTGTTCTTCTTTTGTAGCTCGCAAAACAAGTTTCTGGAATGGATCTTATGAAGAGAAGAATGCTGGAGAAAGCCTTTCGGCTTATAGATAACGATGTAAGTCCATCCATGCACCTGATAAATCCCCTATTAAAGGTTTGCAGGGAGCCATTGTGATAAGGGCGGTTGCTCTACTTCCTTAACCGCATTTGTGAGCTTGTATACTGTTTTCATTTGTTACTTGTTGCTCTAACAGAACACAGGAGCCATCAATAAGGAGAAATGTATTATGCTCTTTGAAGAATTGACTAACTACAGGTACTTAACTACACTTTGTCATATTGTTATTAATATGCTTATAGATTATCTTGAATTTATTTTCTCTCCCCTCTCTCTCTCTGCCATTTTTCTTTGCTGGATCAATATGTTTCCTTTTGTTTTATTTTCAGGACATTGCCGAAAATTTCTAAAGAAGAATTTGGATTGATATTTGATGAGCTTGACGACACTCGTGACTTCAAGGTATAACTTTTTAAGTCGGCAAAGGGATTCTTATGTGTTGCAGATAATTAGGGCTACCATAAAGATTACCATCCACCAAAACCTGTTCATCTCAATTTCTTTCTGCTTTTCTTTTTCACCTTAATGTGTAGATAAACAAGGATGAGTTCACCGACCTTTGCCACGCCATTGCTCTAAGGTTCCAAAAGGAGGAAGTAGTAAGTCTGCCTTTATTTATGTAATTATGTTTTGGTTCTTCATGATTCATTTATCACCACCATTTGTTTATATGTGGGGTCCTTTGTATTACCATTGCAGCCATCTCTTTTCGAAAACTTCCCGCAAATTTACCACTCGCTCTTCTCAAAACAACTGAGAGCCTTTGTTCGAGGCCCACGCTTTGGATACATTATATCTTTCATCCTCGTGTTGAATCTGATTGCCGTCATTGTGGAAACAACAGTATGTCCCTTGTCCCTGTAGAGTGTGTGTCCTCGACATGAAATTTCTTGTTTTTACATAATAACCCATGCTTGTTTTATGCAGCTCGATATCGAAGAAAGCTCTGCTCAGAAGACCTGGCAGGTTGTTGAATTTGTATTTGGTAAGAACTTGAACAACGATTCGTGAGACTATAATTCTCAGCTCTATGGACTATTTTCCGGCGTTTATTTCAATGTTTTTGTGTTACGCAGGTTGGATATATGTGCTGGAGATGGCTTTGAAGATCTATTCATATGGATTCGAGAATTATTGGAGGGATGGTCAAAATCGCTTTGATTTTCTGGTCACTTGGGTTATAGGTAAACTACGTGCTTGCAACCAATTCATCTCTTTTTTTCCTTTGGCACGTGATTGATGATGGTTATGGTATATAATTCATTATCTTTCCCTGCACAGTTATCGGAGAAACGCTTACCTTTGTAACCCCTGATGATAACACTTTTTTCTCAAATGGAGAATGGTGAGGAATATTTAGAGCACACCCGGTACAGAGGCCACCTTCTCATACATGTACATCTAATTCTACAAAATCTCTGACATTGGCAGGATCCGGTACCTTCTCCTTGCGAGAATGTTAAGACTGATAAGGCTTCTAATGCACGTCCAACGCTACCGAGCTTTTATCGCAACATTCATTACACTTGTTCCAAGTTTGATGCCATATCTAGGGACCATATTCTGCGTTCTGTGCGTCTACTGCTCTGTTGGTGTACAGGTAATCTGACTGCAGAGTTCTGATGAAAAAGTGTATATTTTCATGTGTCAAAAGACTTTGTTCTTTGTCCCATTTCTTTTCTTCTTTTGGCTTCTTATCTCCGTAATGACTTTAAATGCTACACATTCCAGTTATATTGGATTCTGGGAAATGGGTTCTTCTAATTGGTTTAGGCATCACTTTTGTATGATTTCCCTGTTTTGTTCTGATACTGACAAAAAGTGAAAACTCCTTTTGTTTGATGAGTTCACAGATCTTTGGTGGGATCGTGAACGTTGGGAACAAAAAAGTCGCAACAACTGATATGGCTGAGGATGAGTATCCTTTTTTTTGTGTTCGTTCCAACGGTTGTTATGGGGAATTTGAGTAAATCTGTTTTCTCTTGACGAGACTCAGCTATCTTTTGTTCAATTTCAATGACTATCCAAATGGGATGGTGACACTCTTTAATCTGCTAGTTATGGGGAACTGGCAAGTCTGGATGGAGGTATCTTCCCAACTTTATTACCGGACTTTATTTTTGTCTCTGTAACTTCAAATAGGAAGAATGCGCTCACTTATTAGGGTATTTTTCAGTGGATATGATGATATTTGAGCATCAATACCAGTTGAATCCTTAGTAAGATGCCATTAACCGTCCTTCTTTTTCATGGCTCTAATGCTATAAAAGCTTGTTTGGCTGTTAACCATCACTCCATTGTTGTTCTATCAGAGCTACAGAGAGTTGACTGGGACGTGGTGGACCATTACATATTTCATCAGTTTCTACGTCATCACCGTGCTACTTCTATTGAATTTGGTATATCTCGCCAACACTATTTTCCCATACATCAACCGACAGAGGATGCTGTTATTATATAATATATAATCTTCAGCTTCACAGATTATTTGAAAGCTTTAGTAACCCTTGCTCGTTGAACTCTTTAGGTGGTTGCTTTTGTATTGGAGGCATTCTTTGCTGAGCTCGATCTCGAGGAAGCAGAAAAATGTCGAGGGAATTCTGAGGTTGGTCTTACAAAAATGTCATCATGAGCCATGCTAGCATATGTATATATATACACACATGTCTATGATTTATGCAATGATTTGCATACATTTTCTTTAAATCCAGGAGCCTGAAGAAAGAGGGAACAGACGGCGTTCCTCAGGGTAACATAATCGATGACATGTTCTCATTTCTCAATTACATTTCTGATGACATTGGAGGGTATGGTTTTAACTCTTTCTCTGGGTGGGGATTATGACAGAACCAAGAGCCGGAGCCAGAGAGTGGATACGCTGCTTCATCACATGTTGGGTGAAGAACTGAACCAAACAGAGTGTTCCAATGCATAATCTCTTGGTCGCAGAGGCTGGCCGGGAGACGTCTTTTCAAGATTTTGTGAAATGTGGGAAGCGTTCTTGAAGCTATTCGGTGTGCGTGTGTTGTGATTTATGTATGCATCATCATATCATTTTAGCACACTTTACTGTAGTATTCTGTCAGGTGCATGAATTTTATCAGAGATTTCATGTACTTCCTCATTGTTGTCGCCTTAATGCAATCCCGACATCAACAGAGACCACGTGTTTGTCAGAGCGAGAGAGAGAGAGGGAAAGGGTCATCTCTAACAATATACAGTTGCATTTACAGGAACATGGTATGGTGGCGGTGGTTTCATGGAACATCAGTGGAAACAGAGAAGAAGAAGAAGAAAGATCAAGAGTTCATCCCAAAGAACAAAAAATCTACCCGACCCATCAAACACTGAGATCATATCGATTACTAAACCCCCCGAGAAAAAGGGTCCAAATCTTCTGAAATCAAAACCCTAACTCGAGTCAGTATCCCTTCTAATCAGTAAGAAATAGCTCAGGACAGCACAGAGGGCAGCGACAGCGTTACCTTCCTTCAACAGGACCTTAAACACATAACCCACGACTTCTCTGGTAATTTTCCGACCTTCCACGACCAAAACCCTCTTGGGTTTTCCGAAGAACGCCAAAAGAACCACCACCGATATCCAGATCACCATCACCGCCGGCACCGCCACCGCCGCCGCTGCCGCCATCGACATCGTCCCGAACACCGCACCCAACACCACCGACGCGTACACCGCCGGCAAATGCAAACGCCCCGCCGATGCAGACGCCGTTTCGGAGGTGTAGTGGTGGAGCTCGTACCAGTTGAGTACGGATTTCAATAGATTCCACGAAGACGACAAGAGAACGGCGTAGACGATGATAAAGAGACAGACCCATGTTCGTCTCTTGCTCATGATTCTCATGAAGATTAGGTACGATGCCGGAGGAGACGAAGCCGAGTTCGGTGTTCTTGGAGATTCTATCGGATCCGCCATCGGAGATCTTGATTTTTTTTTTGCCTGACAAATTTGGGTTTTTTTTTGGTCGAATGCCCAGGGGAATGAAGAAGAAAGACGTGGAATCGAAGTTCTTTCAGATTTGGGGGAAGAAATAGCAGTTCTCTACGAACGACATTCGCACATTGAAGCGCGTGTTGTGCACTCTCAGTCTCGTTCATCGGATTGGTTTGTGTGGATCACACGCGCTTAATTGTCGCGTCCACACTTTAATTTCTTTTACTTCTTTTCCATTGGATGACGGCGACAAACACGAGAATTGGAAACGAGTGAAAATATATACACAATGGAAAATAACAAAGTTTACATTCAAAACACGATCGAAAAAGGACATTAAACAAATAAAACCTTACCCCTCCACTGCATCCCGATACTGCGATACATGATTAGATAACTTCATATTTCCTAAACCATGTGCGCATATATATATATATATATATATATATATATATCCCTATCCCTCTCCGTTCCATCACGGTTGATCATCGTCGACAATCATCACCATCACTTGCTCTGAACTGTTCGACGTAAGCCCATTTCACCTGTTTGAATCTCTCTTGAATCAGTCAAAGAATTTCCACCCAAGTTTTGATTTTTCCATTGCCGTGAAGCAGTGGAACTTTTGCCTACGGGGTTTCCATCAGAACGGATGGACTTTGCTCAGAATTTGTCCAAACGATTACAAAATGTACGGATCTGGAAGGCAGTCATGGAATATGCTGCAAGGCAAAGATCCGATGGATAATGGATTGAGATTCATACATATATTTATATAGTCGTGTAAATCGCTGAGATACCTATATATGAACAATCATTGCATCAGGAACAAAAGAGATGTGTAATCGTTTGTTGGAGAATCAGAGTACAAAATCTTTCTCACACACAGCAACCATTGTTTACTGTGTCAGAAGGTGTCCTAAGATTTTCTGATTTCTCATCATAATTTCTCCAACAACACGAAAGACATGGGGAATCGGAAACAACGTAGGGAGAGATGAGATTGATTCTGATCATCTGCTTCTCTCTTCACATCCTACTCCAATTCACGACGAAAAACGTTGGGAAACACAAAACAATCAGATACAGAGAGGTCGGAGACAGAAGATGGGCTTGTTCAGAACGATGAGACCTGGAGACGGAGATACATACACCAAGAAGCTATATTATATATAAAGTAGAAGATATCGACAAGAAACCCTAATCTCTCGACTCATACATGATGCACTCCAAATCAAATGTAGGGCACACGTTGCTGCCTCCAAGTGTAAAACACGACCCGTCCCAATATCTCCAAGGCCTAATACTGTTGGGCCTGTATAAGCCCAAGTTTTTTCTAGATTTAATTTTTGGCTTACCTTCATCAACAGCCGTCTTAGCTCAGCGGTAGAGCGCGTGGCTTTTAACCACGTGGTCGTGGGTTCGATCCCCACAGACGGCGTTGCCTTTTTATAAACGAATCCATTTTCACCACGTGGCATCAATTTGTGAAGCGCATGGTCACCGCCTTTTATCACTGCCGGTCACGGTATCACCCATCATCAAAGCAATGGCCTTTTTTTTTTCTCGTTTTCTGTGAAATTAAGTTTCCGAGAGAATTTTCAAATCTTTGAATTCGCGACCTCAATCTCCCAGAGAAAAGTACGTCTTTGATACCCGACCACGAGATCAGTTCCGATGTCTTTATTGCACTCCTTCAAAGAGACGATAAAGCCCTGTAGCAATCTATCCTTGTCGACCCTAGAACCTGCCCCGCCTATAAACCCTAGAAAACCTCCCAAATCATCTCTCTCGCAGCAGCTTCTTCGTCTCGAAGATTCTTACTTCGCTTCCAAGCAGGAATTTAGAACCCAGAGCGCCCCGATCGAAGGTTTTGATCGTGGCAAGGACGATCACGATGGAAAGATCAAGGAAGACGAAGAAATTGAAGAACCAAAAATCGGAGATGAGGTTGTCGGGTTCGGGAGACCCGGGTCGGGCCGGTTACAGTTTGACTATACGGGTCCCTATGAGCCACTCGTGCTGTCACCAACCGGAGAAATCCCGGTCTTGCAGGTTATTTTCGTTCTTATAAAAGATTCTATTTTCTGCCGAAATTCTTGATTTTTTTTTTATTCCCTGATACATGCTTTAGTGACGCAATGGCTTTAGCTTAGATACATTTTCATGGAGCGATCAAAGTTTCTTTCCGATTACGTATGTACTCGATGTCGCTAAGGAGTTATTCGCGTTCTCGGCCTAATGGCTCCAAGCGCAATAGATTCGAATTGTTTATGAAAATGTGTGGGCGGTTTTGCTTTGTCGATGAAGGTATGAACCTGTCTTCTTATTTGCTTTGTGGTATGATTGTGTTGCCGCAGGTTCCGGCATCCATAAACTGTAGACTGCTCGAGCATCAACGGGAGGGAGTAAAGTTTCTGTACAATCTGTACAAAAACAACCATGGCGGAATTCTTGGTGATGATATGTGAGTCTGGAGTTCTTTTCTTCTTTTTTTTTACAATGTGGAGATGCATCTAGACTATGATTATATATGGAGCAAAAAATGTGCTTTTGGGTGTTAACCATGTCCTTGACTGCTTTGTATCTACTTGTATATCAATCTTTTTCCCGGGTAAATCATTCTAGTGTTTGATTGTATTCCTTCTTTTGCCAAGCCAATGTGTCTGCTTTGAATGTCATAGCTGCTGTTGCCATTTGAGTTGTCTTACTCGTCAACCGATTTAATACTCAGGGGACTGGGCAAGACCATTCAGACTATCGCATTTCTTGCTGCAGTGTACGGAAAAGACAGTGATGGCAACGATTCCTCTTTGTTAAAGGCTGGAAAGGGTCCAGTCCTTGTCATCTGCCCATCTTCTGTGATCCACAACTGGGAAAGCGAGTTTTCCCGATGGGCGAGTTTCAGTGTTTCCGTGTACCATGGTCCAAGCCGCGATTTGATCCTGGAGAAACTCAATGCCCAAGTTGTTGAGGTACTCGTGACCAGTTTCGATACATTCAGAATCCAAGGTCTCATTTTGTCTAGTGTAAATTGGGAAATAGTGATTGTTGACGAGGCACACCGGCTAAAGAATGAAAAATCAAAACTTTATGAAGCATGTCTAGAGATCAAGACACGGAAAAGGATTGGCCTTACAGGAACCGTGATGCAGAACAAGATTGCGGAGCTATTCAATCTGTTCGACTGGGTAGCACCTGGATCGCTTGGGACACGGGAACATTTCCGAGAATTCTATGATGACCCACTGAAGCATGGGCAGAGAGCGACTGCTCCAGAACGGTTCATCCAGATTGCAGATAAGAGGAAACAACATCTGGTTAATGTTCTGAGAAAGTATATGTTGAGGCGGACGAAAGAGGAAACAATTGGGCATCTGATGATGGGGAAGGAAGATAATGTCGTCTTCTGTGAGATGAGCACATTGCAGAAGCGGGTGTATCAAAGAATGTTGCAACTTCCAGAAATCCAGTGCCTTGTAAATAAAGATGCACCATGCACTTGTGGGAGCCCGCTTAAGCAATCAGAGTGTTGCAGAAGGGTTGTTCGTGATGGAATTATCTGGAAGTACCTTCACAGAGACAACCTCGATGGCTGTGATTCTTGCCCCTTCTGCTTGGTCCTTCCATGCCTTGTGAAACTCCAACAGGTATGTTACCTTTCTGCAAGGTGAGTCGCCTTGTTTTATATTCTGCGATGACTTTTTGTTCCAACAAGTTGTCACAAAGTTAACCCCTTTAGAGTACACGTTTGCCTTGTTTGGTTATGCTATTGGTAACATTTTGCGATATGTAACAGATAAGCAATCATTTGGAACTCATCAAATCGAACCCAAAAGACGAGCGAGACAAACAGCAGAGGGACTCAGAGTTTGCATCTGCGGTGTTTGGACCAGATATTGATCTAATGGGAGGTATTGCCCCAAGTGAGAGCTTCATGGATCTCAGTGATGTTAAACATTGTGGGAAAATGAGAGCCTTGGAGAAGTTGATGGCTTCTTGGATTTCAAAGGGTGATAAGATACTTCTCTTCAGTTACTCCGTCAGGTAATGTGAATTATCTCCCAGATGATAGACCAGCAGTAACTCAAATCAGTTAACTTTGGTTTATGATGTTATTTGAGTTTGGACAAAAGGGATGAAAAATTTGCCATTATAGGATGTTGGACATACTCGAGAAGTTTCTCGTAAGGAAAGGTTACTGCTTTTTAAGACTTGATGGTTCTACCCCCACTAATCTGCGTCAATCTCTTGTGGACGACTTCAACTCGAGCCCTAGCAAATCGGTTGGTCTCTGAACTGAAACCCTAGTTGGATCAGAATTTTATTTTCCTTCTCACTCATTTCTGATGCCTAACCAGATTTTCTTCGGTGTCAGGTTTTTCTCATATCGACTCGGGCTGGGGGGCTAGGACTAAATCTTGTGAGTGCGAACCGTGTGGTAATATTTGACCCGAACTGGAATCCAGCGCACGATTTGCAAGCGCAGGATAGGTCGTTTAGGTTTGGACAGAAACGTCATGTGGTGGTTTTCCGTCTCTTGGCTGCTGGTTCCCTCGAGGAACTGGTTTATACACGGCAAGTGTACAAGCAACAGCTTTCCAACATTGCTGTTGCAGGGAAAATGGAGCGACGGTACTTTGAAGGTGTCCAGGTACACACACACGCACACACATATATATATATATCATCATCAGTCTGTTTTGGTAGTTTGAAGTGTTTAGAATGCTGCCATTGATGAATACCTCAGAATGTATAATCTTAATCGATTTAGTAGCACTCTTTTAGGTTCCCAAAAGAACATTATTATGTCTCTTTTTTGTGGCTGAAATGATACATTCTTGTCATCAGGATTGTAAAGAATTTCAAGGGGAGCTATTCGGAATCTCTAATCTCTTCCGCGACCTGTCTGATAAACTCTTCACCAGCGAAATTGTCAAGCTACATAAGGAGGACCATAGCATTGACCAAGTCAACCAGGGGAAGAATACACCAGTGCTCAAGACCGATGGTTTAAAAGAAGAAGAAGAAACAAACGCGGTATCATCATCTAAGCTCGAACCCGAGAAACCTATGCTCAGAGATTTGGGTAAAGATTTTCAGTCTCTATGCCTCTGCTCTTTTTGCTGTCGTTATTATCCTGATGGTGTAACGTTTTGCTTCTCTCTCTCTCTCCCTCTCTCTCTGTGTAGGCATTGTGTATGCACATCGAAATGAAGATATCGTCAATGGCAGACAACAAACTCAGAGGACGGATGAAGATGGCGAAACGCAGACGGATGACGCAAACTTTTTGAAGAAGGGGAAGAGAAAGATTCGCGAAGAGGACGACAAAGCTACAAATGTGGGTGGGAAAAGGGAGAAGTACAAGATGGTAGCTGAGTTCAGAGGCATGGAGATAGTGGAGTTCAGCCGATGGGTGTTGTCTGCAACCCCCTCTGAGAGACACAAACTCCTCCGAGACTTCAGGAAGTGGAGTTGTTCTTTGCGACGTTGATGGATAAAATCTATGTCAACCCACAATGATGTTTGGTCTTCTGGGTGTTAGTTTTTGGTAAATGTAGATATATATTTTTTTTAACCAACAGTGAATATTGTTAGGCCTAGAAGTCAGGTTAGGTCTTGTCTAGTCATAATGTGTTCTATTTGTACATAATTCCATTCATTTTGTTATGTAAATTGATCTCTCCCTTACATTTTGTTCATGTTCGTGACATTAACCGCATAGAATAAAATTAAAGAGCGTTAATTAATTAGATATTCAGCAAAGGAAAATGAAAATGGGTAACGATAAATCATATATAAGGCCCAAAAGCGTGGACAAAGCCTATGAAAGGAAAAGCCCATTATAATTATGTGGCCCAATCAGCCGAAAAGGAGAAAATGGGAGCATCACATACATGCCCAGGCGCAGGAGAAGCGCGTCACTCAAACGCGCCCGTTTTTCCCGGACTATAGTCCCGGGAAATCGGTAGAATCCGGATTTTTCGAGCACACGGGCGCGTGAGAAAGCTTCTTTCCATGTATGTATGAAAATTGTTCTCTTTACCCTTTCTCTTTAATTATTCAAAATTAATGAGACAAAATAATGTCCATTATTCATAACTAATTTTTTTAAACAAATTTTAGTTGTCAATGAAAACTTATTTGAAAACGTTAATTTAAAAAAAAAAAAAATTAAGGAATCTTTTCTAGTATTTTTAAACCTTCAACAATATCTATTAATCTGTAAGCACAATGATTAATTTTAATGGCCATTAAAAAAATTAAACACAAATAACAACTAATAGAATAATAATATATAGAACGGATCTTTCTGTTTTTTCAACAGGAATCCATCAAGTTCTACTGTCATTTTCAAATCTATCAAGAGTGTGTGTGTGTGTATATATATATAGTCTCTACCGTTTATTTTGTTTTGTAAAATAATATCTAATTAATTCCAGCATTCTGGTATGTAGTTAATTAGATTTACTACAAAAAATGGTTGTCTTACATTTTGTTCACTAACATGTCTTCCGATTTTTCTTTATTATTATTTTTTTATCGTAGATTTAGAATAAATGTTAAATGGCGTTTAATAAATAGTAAATAGATACGCAAGTGAAAAAAATCGGAGACTGGTACAATATATACCACATCTAATGCCGAAAACGCAGACAGCCCATAAATGAAAAGCCCATAAAGGAGGAGCCCGTGATTGTATGGCCCAATCAGCAAAAAAAGGGGGAGCCCGTGTGCTTGGAAACGGGATCGCCCACACATATGCCCACGTGCAGGGAAAGCGCGTCATCCAAGCACACGGGCGCGTGATGAAGCGCCTCCTTCCCTTAATTAATTTTTAAGCACAATAACCTTAATAAAAATTACTAAAAATTTATTCATAATAGTTAAGCCAAAAAATTATTTTTAATTATATTTTTAGAAACATTAATTAAGTTTTCAAAGAAAACTTGGTAGAAAAGTTAAATTAAAAAGATTGAAGGAATATTTTGTATCTTTTTGTTGGAAACCTTTAACAAAACCTAGTAATTTTCAAGTACAATAACCTTAATAAAAATTACTAAAATAATTAAACACGACGAAGACAACTAAAATATATATATATAAAAAATGATAGAGAAGATTTTACTAAATTTCCATCAGAAATCCACAAAACTCTACTGTGATTTTGAAATCCACCAAGTATATAATATATATACCGCACCAAGTTTAAGAGATTCACGTAGTTGTTTAAGTTCGTAAACCCTAATATCATTTACTGTCTTGAAATGTATATACTAATCACTAATGTCCACGCCCGTAACTAAATCCTTGTAGGCGTCACGAAGTAGTAATATTCTAACATAATGGCAAATTCAACAGTATAACCAAACCGCATATGTTGTATTCACCATCCGCTTTCTCTTTCTTTCCTCCCGGTCCAGTTGCAAGAGTAGTAAACAAGGTACAACATTAGACAATTTACCTTCTCCCCGCCTTGAATCTTGAGACAGGCTTTGACGGTTGTGAACCCGTCGACTGTTAGGTAAAGCAGAACCCGCGATAAGAACATAACATGTTCCCGCATTAATGGTTTTTTTTTGGTGCAAATGGATGTGTGTTGGCTCAAGTACCTGAATTCGGTTGTCTGTCTCTGTGGCGTGCTCTACTATCGATCCTGTGAAAGCCTGAGCAAGTTGAATCAGAGATCAGCAATCACAAACAATCATGGAGATATTTCACCTACCATATGTCTGTAGATGATTGAGCTGGAAAATGAAATGAAAAAATGTACCTTGAGATAATCGAAGTCAGGCTTTGGTTTCTGAACAAGCGACTGCATGAAAAGATGGCATATGTACATTTGTGAGAAGGGTGCAACAGTTATTACCAATTGAGAAAATAAATGTTTGCCAACGGCTGTGTATCGTAGTAGAAGATTAAAACCGAATTCAAACATGAGTTCCAATCATGGCATATAATGCAAGTCGCAATTACCTCGATCCTCTGTGGACATACAACACTGGTTCCAGTGTTTCCTCTGGAAACTGTACTTGTCATCAGAGCGTTTGCAGATGCCCCTGCATTTTGCGGTTCAAATCCACCGCTTGATTTATCTTCTGGTAAATAGGTAAACAGACAAAAGTTGGCAAAGAATACTTTCCAGGGAGATTGTGCATTATTAAGTATACGCAATCAATGATAAGGCCAACTGACTGATGTTCGAAATGCCTTAGATAAGGTTGGAACATGATGTTGGGCTAACCTTTGGGTAAATACTCTGCCGATAGTCCTGTACACTGCCATTTGAAATCACAAGCAATATCTGAGAAAAAGCTGTGAAAGAACTAATGAGAGAGATAATAATATATCACATGGATGGTTTCTCTTACATTAAAAAGGCCATCCAAATGCTTTTGACGTTGTTGTTTCTCTGCTAACATTCCAGTAGTTGCGTCTTCACCTCTTGGCCCAATACCAAATGATCCCAATGCCTGAGTTAAAGTAAATCAATATGAAGCCTATTAACCATACACATAGTTCCAGTCCAGATTTTAAAGCTGTCTGAAAGTACCTCAGAATATCTCGGTTCCTGATTGGGAAAGCTATGATCTGAACTCTTCTTAGGAACAAATATAGTTCTTTCTCGTTCCTCAACATCGTGACCACTCTGCCCAGCACATTGTGCGTCTGATTCCTCATATTCAACCCTGCTGTGGTCTATTTCACCTATAAATTCTTCCTCAATATTATTCTCACTGTACTCCGCACTTTCTGTGTCAGAATCCTGTTCTTCATCTCTATCATCCTTGGTTACGCCCTTCATTTCTTCCATTTCAAGTTCATCTAACCTGGCGAGGATTCGCTCATATTCATCATCTTCATCTTTAGCGTTTTCTCTTTCAGGAAGTCCTGGAAGTTGTTCTTTTTCTGATTGAACCACAGTTCCAGAAGAACCTACCTCCACATACTCTTCTCTTATCTCAACAATACCTGCCTACAACAATTTTAACAAACACAAGTGTGTTAATTCAGATGAATAAAATTGTAAAATGCTAGGCATACTGACTAAATAGTAGTCGCTCTTGTAGCATGAGAGCTGTATAACATAATACCGCCGCTTCTGATGCAGTTCTTGTGAAAAATGAAGCCTCTGTTCGAAGATCTTCAATCTCGGCTTTAAGCGAGTTAAGTTGGGAATTCAGAGTCTTTTCTCTTCTCTTCAAGACATCGACAGTTTGTTTTGATGTTCTCTCAGCGTAGTAATTCTCGCCCAACAACAACTGGGTTCAAGGGACACAAATCAAAGCCTTCAGATAAGTTTAAAGCACCCTGCAATTTACATTTTACCTCAATACGCTAATGGTAAATCCTAAGTCCAGAAACGCATAGCAAAGATCACCAAAGACAATCATTGTGAAAGAATATAAACCTATTGCAAATATTCGTGCTTCTCTGGAGAAATTGACGCAAATATTTAGCTAGTAAAAGCAATAACAATGAACTCTAATTCATAACAAGCTGAGAAAGCGAAGGAAATCTACTTCTTTCTTCCTACAAGAACGGATTTCATCTAAGAATTCCCGGAAACCCAGACACAAATAAAAATATACAAATTATCATGAATCCTAACTTCGAAAAAAGAACGAATTCAAAGAACCAGCTACGAGCCGAACCTAGAGAAACATTGATTCCCCCTTAGAATCTAAAGATGAAAAATCATACAAAGGGCCTACCAGGAACTCGTTGGTGTGAATCAATCGGCCTGGAAAAAACGCCAGTTTACCGAACGGAACCTATGAACAAGAAAAAAAAACAACCACACAAAAACATCAGACAATTTGAACCAAAACGAAGAAAGAACAGAACATATTGCGCATTGATACATGATAACTCACCATTACATCGTGATAGAGCTGATCGGGAAGCTTCTTGACGAGATTGATGAGATTGGCGTTATCGGCGACAAACTGATCGAGCCGATTCATCTCGTTCTGCTTCTCTCCAATTTTCTCCTCCACTCGCTTCGCCGCCTTCCTCGCTTCCGCCTCCGGAAACATCGACGCCAACGGCGTCACCGTCCCCTTCGCCGGCGCTTCCATTTTCCCGGCGAGGGTTTTAGCGTAGGGCCCGCAAGAGCGCAAAACAAGAGGAAAGAAGACTACGAAGCGAAATAACGAAAGACTAGTGACTAATGAGTGAACGATTGGGCCTTAACGAGCCGACCCGTTGGGCCCAATTTAATGAAATTCGGGTGCGAGAAACGGGTCGGGTTGGATCACATGATGACATCATCGCCGCATGCGAATAAGCAAGCTGACGTGGTAATGGGCCGAGCCAACATGTGCAGCGTTTAATCATTGATGTGTGATCTCATCTTAATCAAGGATTAATTATTCACAAACCCTGTAATTAAGAACCTCCATTATCATAAAACGACCCCTCATTTATATGATCTTTACATAATTGAGTCACTTGTCCCAAAATAATTTTTATTTTTGTCTCTCTTTTTTTTTTACATTGTTTATAAACTATAACAAACATTAAAGTTTTGTAGATATTTTTATGATTTTTTTGTACATTATCGATAGGAAAACACCACGCAAATAGTTTTCAAATTCAGATATTCTCTACTTTTTTTAGGTTAGATTTTTATTACCATTTTTTAAATGTCTGACTTTAATAGAGAATCTAGCCATATTTTTATATATAAAAAATAGAGAATCTAGCCATTTGGAATTTTTATAATATTTTCCATATACCATGGAAAACAATATAAATTGGGTCAACAATTAAATAACAGGAGTGCTGCTTAGTAAATACAAACTTTAGGAGTTAGGGTTTCTTTAAAAAAAAACTAATTAATTTCAGAATGATATTATTGATTAATATATATATATATATATAATAGAGAAAGTAAAAAACGACCCAAATTATGTCTCTCCTGTTCGTCGTCGGATTTTCACTCTCATTATTTACTTCTCTCTCTGTGTCTCTATTGGCATCGAGGCGGAAAAACGCAGCAGAAACAAGAGGGGAAAAGCGTCGCACAGAGACGGGGAGAGAAAGGGAGAAGCTTTATCTTTGTTCTTCGAAGCATAGAGAGCCCGTGGAAGATCATTGTGTCAACAATGCCTGCGAAGAAGAACTCCTCTCCGGCGGGGATCCTCCATGACGGTGAGGAAAACGACCGATGTCGGCGAAGTCCCGGCGGTCTTTTCGAGCCAGATGCTGAAGAGGGTCCCGAAGCGAGAGTTGAGAAACGAAGAGGACAAGATGAAGACGGGGAAGAAGGAGACGAGGAGGAAGGTGGAGATGAGGAGGTCAAAGGCGAAGCGGATGAAGAAGTGAAACGCGGAGAAGGAGAAGAAGAAGAAGGAGAGGAAAATGAGTCCAATGAAGATGAGGAGGAAGAGGAAGGAGGTAATGGGTGCTTTGTTTATGCACGTAGATACGTATGTACTATCCATAATTGCGTATGATTGTACGTGAGAATGTTCGTGTGATCGATTTCTCGATTTGCTGTATTTCTCTCAGAATCTAAGGAAAGAAGTCAATCTTCAACCTCCGGAGACCAGTCAGAGTACTCTTCTCTTCCCTCTCTGTCTATGGTTTTTCTCGTTTCTCCGGATGGGGTTTTGCTACAACGGGTCCCTCTTCTTTTTGTACTTCCAGTACCAAATTCAGACACTTTGTTTCTTGGTTTGACTGTTCTATTGACGGGTCGGAACTGGAATAGGTGTTCGCTGCTTTTTTGGTGGCTCATGAATTTGTATTCCTTCCTCGATCTGATGCATCGTTTCACTTGCATGCTGCAATTCCTGTGATGCTTTCTGCTGGAAATCCCAAATATTCAGCTCGTTCTGCAGAAAAAGAAAACTGAAGTTCGGTGTTTGACCTGTTTTAAGATTGCGACATTGTATTAGATTGATCCATATACTTTGACGTCCGATGTTCAGAATGCCTCGGCGATGTTTTTGGGTGTTGAATCAGATTAGCATCAAAGGGGCTGGTTAAAACGTTTCCTATCTTTGAATGTGGCAGATCTACAGTGACAGCAGATCCTGTGTATGTAATTATGTCTTGATTTCTCATGCAGATACATGGATGTTGACCTGGCAGATGTCCGGAAGGATGTGCAATGTCCAATATGTTTAGGTATTTACACCACTCTGAATCTTTCTTCTCCAAGGCATATTCTTCAGTTCTGTTGTCCTGGCGATGCGCCTTTTGCCAAAGACAGCAAACTCTACTAAATAAGTTTCGAGAAGATCTCTGGATATTAGATTAGGCTTACAGCTACTATCCATTGCCCTTTCCAAGTGGCATGAAGTTCTTCAGTAATAGACCTGTGGTAGATGCTGGTCTAGCTTCTCGTTTTGTTTTGGTGCCTATATCCTTGTTGTGTTGAAGGCTTTTCTAGAATTTTTTCCATTACCTATTCAAACTTGCCGGTAGTTGTAAGCAACAGGATTGGGAGACATGTTTGTAATAGGTCTGTTGTACTGCATTTTTTCGTATTTCATAGCGCAGTATGCTGAATTTGGTTACATCACTTCCGTGGCTGCTTTTCCAGGAATTATAAGGAAAACACGGACAGTGATGGAATGCCTACACCGATTCTGCCGGGAGTGTATCGATAAGTCAATGCGATTGGGGTATGCCTTTACATTATTGGGTCTAATCTGCATTTGTGGTGATTCCTTTTTTTTTTTTTTTTTGGCTTCCATTACATGCTTGTTATCTCCTCATCCTTGGGAGACAGATGCGTTCACTCCTGTGAAAGCTCAGTTTGGGATTAATATTAAAAGCTATGGCTGTGATTGCAGGAACAATGAATGTCCTGCTTGCAGGAAACATTGTGCAAGCCGGCGTTCTTTAAGAGACGATCCAAAATTTGATGCCCTTATTGCGGCTTTATTCACAAATGTTGATCAATATGAGGAGGAGGTAAACTGATGGCCTTATGTTTAGTTCCTCTGTTGTCTCTTACTCTAAGAAGGGTTCTTTCTGAGGGACCATCGCTATTGCATGTTTTTCATTTATTGTAGGAGTTGGCTTTTCATGAAGAGGAGAAGGTTCGCAATAAGCAGGTCAGAATCCTAATGCATGTATTCACTGATGCATTCCTGAATCTAATGAAAGAGGAAACGCTGATTCATATCAAATTTGATGCATTCACAAATACTGGGCCATCTATGTCACATGTTTTATTTGTCTTCTTCCTTTTTTCTATGGATACGAGGGTATTTTGTTTTGAATGTTCTTTTTTTGCATCTTTTTTGGATGTTGGTTAGATCCAAGCATCTATAGCTCAAATATCTCAACGGCAATCTGATGCCCTTGTGAAAAGACGATCTTTCGGTAAAGAGGCAGCGATATTGTCAAGGCCACAACGTAGTGGTAGTGGTTCTAGAAGGAGAAGAAACTGCAGAAACATAGATCATCACATTACAGAAGCCCATGACAATGATGACGACGACGACAATAATAATGCCAGAGGCAAAGATTCGTCATCAGATGAGCGTAGTGCAGAAATCAGGCATAGAAAACGAAGAAAACGCTCGGAAAATCGTCCAACCCACCCTTCTACATCTGGAGCAAACAACAACAGTAGTAACTGCACTGATAATGACATGGAAGCTGCTTTCAAGGACAACAACAACAACAACAAAGGAACTTCTCCTGGCCTTGTCTGGAACCCTGAGATATTTGCATGGGGTAGGGGCGGTGCAAGGAGTAGTACCAGGCATGGTAATGGCCAGGGGGGCGGTAATAAGAGCGTGAGAAATGCTCGTTTGAATAGACTCGTGGAATATCTCCGGAGCTTAGAGGGAAGTAGCGTTGAGGTATGTATGTAAGCCTTTCTTGATTCATGGTTGCAGATTACATGACTATATATTTATGTTTGTAGCATTATTCTATCTGCAGTTAGATATTCATCTCAAGCTTGTCCCTTTGGATACAAGATGTACACCAACCTGGCGCCAGCCATACCTCTGCTGCCGACCCACTTTGATGGTGAAGCAGCTCCGCGAAGTGAGTTCTTGATCCTTTGCTTTGTTCTGAACATACTTTTTCTTACACGGGTGGAAAAGAAAAACCTTTTTTTTTTCATGGGCTCAAGACCACATATATTACACATGAATAAATATTTAGAATCGAAACATGACAGCCGAACAAAAAATATTAGAATTTACTCAAATAGCAAAAGAGGGGCAACATGCAAATCAGTAAAAACCATTGAATCTAAAATCCAAACAGAAAAACAAAAAGGGATAAAAGCCTTATGTATTTCAATGACATAGATTAGATATATTCTGAACCTTTGTATTCTTTGTGTGGCCCCCAACAGTTTGTAGCACTCCAGACACACCTGAAGGCTGAAGAAATCGAATTGTTGGTAGCAGCAGCTAATGGAGGGGGTAAGGCGATGCAATGTCTGGAAGACGATGAAACGACTCTGGCAAGACTTGAAGTGGATCATGTTCCCATCTCTTCTGAAGCACATTTGGTTAGTATCTCTCTATCAATAAACATTCATTTTGTTTAACTCCTCTTGTTATGTTCCCCCCTCTGAATGTTTGTTTGCTTCCTTTGTTTGGTTCCTTCAGGTTTTAGCTTACAGGCAGAAGCGGTCTGGATAAAGGTGGAGGAGCGCCTTTGCGCATTATGCAGATCGAGTTGGGTTTTTAGGTCAAATGTTTCAAGAGTGTTGGGGTTATTTATTATTAACACTCTCCAAATTTCATTCTTCTCGTTTCTTACAGACATTTCGTTGCTTCGCTCTTGGCAATGGATGCAAATTTTATGAGAAAAAGTGGCAATTGGTGGGAAGTCTTTCAGATTTTAATCTTACATCTTTGTTTTTTCAAGTCCTAAGACAGAAATGAGGATACACATGGGGGAAAAAAATTTACTAGCTATATATAACTACAGAGAACCAGGGATCAGAGGTTCAAGTGTTCTTGAACAAGTTAAAATCGGATATGTTCTGTGTTTCTCTTCTACCTCATATGGGCGGCAGCAGCAGTGGTGGCTGGACAAGTCATCATCATCTTTCTCCTCTCTGTTCTTTTGATCACTCTGAGCTTAGGTGACTTTGGTTTTGTGATCTCTTTGTTCGACCTAGTGAAAAGCATGAGGACAATAATATTGAATCATCTTTTATTTATCATCTTTTTACAATGTAGAATCGTTTATGATCTTACTTTTGTGGAAGGAAGGGATTGCTGAAGTTAGGCACTGGTCTTGCCTGAGGAACCAATGTTCTTCTGAGTTGCTTCAATGCTTTCTCTTCTTCCACCTGAGAAAGGTACAGAACTGATTCATATGTATCCAGGAAATAGACAGACATTGTTCGTTTGTTCACGCCATTTTCTGGGTGTTCACTTTTCTCTATGATCTCGAGGGATTTTTTGCAATTAATAAGAATTGGAACCTAACACTATCCCCCATGGGCTTGCGAAAGTGATATTCTTGGTTTACCTTCTGTGCGGCGTCGCTTTCTTCACGGTATCTCTTGTACATCTTTTCTTTCTCTCTGACCTGGGTTTGGATGAGACTGGTATGTCAGTTGCAAAAACAGAAGAAAACGAGGATTTTTTTTTAGGGAATTTTATTTGTTTGCAGATTTGGTAAGAAACTTGCTTTTTGATCAAACTCTGCCCTCTCGCCGGCACGATGCTCTACATGAAGGTTGAACTCCTGAATCTCTGTGAGAGGCTTTCTCACTTTCCCTGGGACCGGAATTGGGTCCCTGCATGAAATGAAACCAACCATTTGTAAGTTATTTTTGTACATGTAAACAGTTTCTTCTGACAAAATCGAAAGCAGCATATGCATGACTTACTCTTTTAGTACTGGCTGTGCTTTGAAGACCCTCTTCCGGGCCTCTTCCCTCTCCATCCTCATCCTCTCTTCCATTTCTCTTTGCATTTCCTCTTCATGCCTCACTAGACTCTCTAATTGGAACGGTTCTGGTTTTGTGCAATGCCTAGGTTCCGGTTTTGGTGGCATCTGATTTGAAATGTGGAGAACTGTTAGGAGTCCCATACTCACAACTGAAACCAAATCACGCAAGAAGCGAGCGATAGAAGCCCTTTCATTCATGTCTCCCATGTCAAAAACATCCAGACTCTGTTCTCACCAAAAATCACCACAAGAACAAGCTCCACTCCGGAAATGGTGGAACCTCATTTTGTCCCTCACTGTAATTTCCCTCCCTGTAACCTCTGATGCCAAACGCATAAACAAGTGACAATCTTCACATATCCTCAGGTTCTTCATGATCCTTATTGATGAATCACCGCCAGTTGTCTGCAATGAGAACGCCAAAGCCATCTTCTCGCTGTGCATTTCGAGTATACGCATCTTTTCGTCATCGTTCACATCATACGGTTGTAGGGATATGGGTTCGCTTTCGGAACCCTTGCCCTCTCTTCCTCAATCTGCTTCTGAATTATTTCAGTCACAAACTTCTTCTCTTTTTCAGCACCTCGTTCCTGGATAAACCAAGCCAACAAACAACAAATCACACTCAACATAAATTTACAATCCAACCAGTTCCAAACTCACGGAAAGGAGGTTGTCTGTTGCAAACGTACTTCTGTTCGGAGATGGAATGGGTTTGGAGCGGTGTTTCTTGGTAAATGATTTTCATGGCATGGTTCAGAGTTCAATGAGAGCTGACAAAAAAAATGCTAGGTTAGACACTGAAATGCCAAGGAGCATAACCTCATTAAAGACTTGCATATCTGATTGTCAGTCACCTTATCAAATAAGTCTACAACTGAATTGGCCCGGGAAATCCTCTCGTCTGTTGCAAAATGGAACTCCTGAGGTATAGTTATATGCTTCTTAGTGTTGCAAAAGATGCCCATCTCTCCTTTACTTTCAAATATCTGAAGCAAAAGGGGTAATACCGAATTAGATCCAGAGACAAATCACAACTGTAGAACAGGAATGGGTGAGAGAACTATACATCTTCAATGATATTTACCTTTTTGTTCAGTGGTCTTGCCTTAAATTTCGGCGCCTTTTCGAGTTCCTCTTGCTCTAGTTCTGTGGAACTTTTGACTGTAGTAGGACGAGCCCTCAGCATCGTTTGGAGTGCAGGGCTTTTTGGCTCGGTGAGGTGAGGTCTCCAGTCATTATGCTGCCTAGACACCTCTGTTGAGGCTATAGAAGATGTTTCTACATGCTGGTTAGCCCTCGCCATTGTCTCCAGATGAAATTCCTGAGGCAGTAAAGAGATAATACGCTTAAGAGTCAACAGCAATCTCATTCAGCAATTAGCTTTGAACCAGTGTTTTATTCGCTTCCAGAGTAAGAGATCTCGCGCTCCATGACGATGATATTATTCTGCCTAAAGTTGGGTTACCTGAAATTCCGGAGGATGTGGTGTACTTTTTTGTGGTGCAGACAAAGTTGGAGCAGCCAAAATCTGTACCAAAGGAGAGGGCAATGTTTGTTGGTTCTGTATATACTATGGCTGGAAACAGAGAGAAGACTGCGCATTACCTTCTTATTCACAGGCCGGGCTTTAAATTTCGGAATTTTTGACATAATCTCTTCCTCAATCTCTGCGCTACTCTTAACTCTAATGGGACGAACCCGCTGAGACGTCTCGAACTCTGGCTCCTTCGGCCTTGTCAGTGTCAGCCTAGGTTGGTTCTGGGCAAGGAAAGTGGCACCGTCCTGAAATTTATTAGGAGTAGTTCCGAAAAGGAGAAAAAAGGAAGAAAAGGAAATATAGGGAATCCAAGACTCGAGCAATGAGCAGCTGAAGATGGAGATAAGTGTATTACCTGTGATAGCAAATTTTTGGTATGAGGAAGAGACAAGTCTCGGGTACTTGATTGGAACTTTTTCATCAATTCCGCAGTTGAAACGAAGGGTGTGATTTGTTCACGGATATAGACCTTAAAAGTGAAAGCAGCGGCTGAGATGCTGAATCATTACAGTTTCTCAAATTCATGTATCTGTGAAACGCAACTCAACTCACCTTCCTATTCTCCTTCTGGGTTTGCTTGACGGCTGAAGGGCACAAGTTTGTGCTAGAATTGACAAGACCTTGTTTTGTCTTGTGGGGAAGAGCCGTTGGTCTTGGATTTAGAATCTAGTGAAATCAATGTTGAAAAGGAACAAGTTTTCAGTTACACAGTGAGATGATGGCACTTGCTGATATTGAAGCAAATTGTGAGTTTTAGCTCACCTGTCTGGATCTTCCACCTTCAAGCTTCTGCCTTTTGATGGCTTGGTTTTCCTGAGCCAAATTGTGAGTTCCGGTAATGTTTTTTACATTTGCTTCCCTGCAGTGAACAATCAACACAATGAGCATGAAACCAAATTCTGATGTCACAATGGTAATTCCAAGTGAAATCAACCTCTTAACACTTGTCTGATTAATCCCTTTTGCTTGAGACAACTGTGACTGTTTTTTGCTCTTCAGCGCAGACGGATTCCTCAGCATACTAGCTATCTTCCTAGCTGTCTCGCGATTCTTGGAGTCCATCACTTTCCGTCCTTTACACGCAAGCAATGGTACTTTAGGGGTGCAAGCTTCGGTATCAACAGGAGGAATGTTCTCCTTGTTTTCTGTCTGTTCAGTCACCACATCCTTGAGTTTACTGACAATAACCAAAAAAGAAAATAGTATCAGAATCGCTGAACAGTAATAGTATCATCTGCTGATGAACAATAACATACCTTTCATCTTCTCGAACATCTGCAGAATTTTCTGTTCTTCTTTCCTCTCCATCTGCGGTGTTGTGAGACATTTCGTTTGTAGTTAGTGTATGTACTTCGATAGCCTTTCCTGATACTTCCTTCGTCTCGGAGAAAGGAGGTTTCGATCCCGAAGAAATATTTGTAGCATCAGGTTTAGCCTACAAAATGACCATGACAATTAAAAGCTAATTGAGACTCAGTTTCTTGCTTATGAACCAGAAATTTCTGGGATAATGGAAACTACCTTATCCATTTTTTCTGCTTCTTCATTAAAATTGCACATGCTCTCAACCTTGAATGATCTCCTCGCTTTGATTCTGGGAACAGAAGCTGTGCAAAGGGGGAAAATCAATTTCTCAATAATAATAAAAAAAAAAACTGAAGCGGAGTTGTGAACAACTGGAAATCAACTTGATTATGTAGAATCATGTTCGAACGAAATGCATTTCGCAACAATCCGTTTACTTTTCCAGTCCAAACTATCACCGGAACCGAAATTCCTTCTGTTGGAGAGTAAAGTCAAATACAAATTCTATTTCCAATGCACTGTCAGCTGAATCTCAGCGAACCAAAGGACTTATTCCCTAATTCTGCCGCTCATGCAACCGATATCCGCAAACCCTAACCCTAATTTTCCTCTTTCTAATCGAAATCCACAAAATCGGAAACCAAATCTTGCCGTACCAGAGATCCGAACATGGACGGCAAATCATTTCAGCAATTCAGAAATGAACATCCTAATTAAAACAGTTAAAGGCCAAATCTAAGCAAATGGAGGAAGAGACATACGCGACGGTCCGTAACACAACGCGGAATCGAACCAGAGCTCCGCTCCACGAGACTCCTCCTCCGTCTCCCCGTTCACAAAATCAAACCACCTCGGCGCCGAGAATTCGTACTTCTCGTCGACAACGGCACCACCGCTCGGATCCTCCACCGAAGCCGCAGATTCCATATCAAGAAATCGAACAACAAATCACCAACAGAGAGGTAGAGAGAAGACGACGAAGGGGAGAAACTGAAAAGTTCCAATGGGATTAGGGTTCTTCTTAGTTCGTGCAGAGAGAAAAAGTGAATGTGATCTGGTGATGGTGGTAACGAGGGAGAATAAGAGGGGGAAGGGGAAGGTTATTAACGCAACGGATATTTCCCAACGGTCGAAAATTTTGAATACGGAGGAATACGCAGTAGCCTCAAACGGCCATTTCTTTATCTGGGTTGCCCTCTTCCCTCTAACGGCTATATCCCACGCTCTTTCATAGTCTAAACGGCGCCGTTTTAAGTTTCCCTTCATCAACTCAAACGACGTCGTTACCACCCCCCCCCCCAAACATTAAAACGGGGTCGTTTCGGATAATCTTTTTTTTTAATAATAATAAATAAATGAGAATAACCTCAGATCATGTGTGCATGAATATATATGCGTATCAGATTGTTCAACAAACAATGCAGAGCTCATGAAACGTTCGTGAGTTTTACACGGCAAACAAATTAACTGTAAGCTTACCAGGCATATTATATGTATATATATATAATCAAATGTACAAAAGAGAACACTCATTGACATATACGTGTATATATATATGGGTAAATGGGGAAGAACAGTGGCAATGATGACGATGATGATGATGATAATAGATGGGGAATCATTCGTACCGTTTTGCGAATACACGTACGAGTATTTTCCACCGTGCCTGCATTTCCTGACGGGGATATACCACAAGCCCAGCCGAAGGTGCTGTGCCCACATCGACAAGCTTAACAGGATCGCCAGACACAGAAAGGAGAACCCGAGGCTTCTCTGCCAATGCGTCCAGCTGATCACAAAAGGGAAGCAGCCTTCCATGCTGTCCGATCGGATTCAAGATCTCCCTTCCCTCTGCAACACCCGCCTCAGCTTCCCTATCTCCTCCAGCATGGATTGCTCCACGTAAGCCCTAATCCCATACATGTATATATATATATCTAAACTATCTTATCGAATTACATAATAAATTCAAAGAATATTTATATACGTATATCTTTTCCATTTGTGTGTTTTGATACGCAGGGTCCAAGATGGAGATTGAAGGTTATTACAAATAAAATCGATTAAAAGATTGGATCCTTTGTTTCACAAATTATGATTATACATATGTGTGTTTTATCATAATTGAGAAGATTCTACTATCCCGAGACATTTATTATTAATAATTCTTCTGTAAATAAAAACGCAACAATAGCAAAAGCAATATGGAGAGAATATTAGACACGTGGGCTCGCCACGTACAAATGTTGGCCCCAAAGCAGAAGGAAGACACGTCTACTGTGGTTGGGCTTAGAGATTATAATTGGGCTTAAATCTCCCGCTCATAGGCCCACTAACAGGCCCAGATCACCATTGACAAATTTCAGGTTCGTTTTCTATTCTTATAAAACGAAGTCGTTTCAACTCGAGGTTGAGTCTTCCATGTATGAATGAAGAAACTGCGTCACATCCTATCTTGACAGTCCACTGCGGTAAGAAACAGGACAGTGGACCAGCCGGATGTCCGAGTCACCGACAAAACTCCTTCCGGTTAAATAAGCTCTCTCGCCTCCAAATCACCGGAATATCGATAGAAGCTCTCGGATTTGCCCGTGCCCTTTTCTTTTTCCCCAAGTAATTCCACCGAGATGGCCCTTTCATTCATGTCTCCCATGTCAAAAACATCCAGACTCTGTTCTCACCAAAAATCACCACAAGAACAAGCTCCACTCCGGAAATGGTGGAACCTCATTTTGTCCCTCACTGTAATTTCCCTCCCTGTAACCTCTGATGCCAAACGCATAAACAAGTGACAATCTTCACATATCCTCAGGTTCTTCATGATCCTTATTGATGAATCACCGCCAGTTGTCTGCAATGAGAACGCCAAAGCCATCTTCTCGCTGTGCATTTCGAGTATACGCATCTTTTCGTCATCGTTCACATCATACGGTACAGAACTTAAATCCGGCCGGTACCCAATTGCTTTCAACCTCTCCAGGAGTTTCTCGAGTGTCTCTTTAATCTCATTGTACATTGGATGGGTCAAGTTGCTTGCAAAAAACTCGTGCATCTGACCTTTATTGTCTTCCACCCAGCTAGATGCCGGGTTCTTCTTCAGACCCTTTTCCCTGATCAGCTTCCTCACTCGCATAACACCATCCCAATCCCCAGCCGATGCGTACACATTAGAGAGCAAGATATAGTTCCCAATTGCATCAGGTTCGAGTTCAAACAGATGTTGAGCAGCGATATCGGCAACATCTGGATTGTTGTGGATCTTGCAGGCCCCGAGCAGTGCTCCCCATACAACACCGTGTTGCTCGATCGACATGGATTTGATCAGCTCAAGTGCTTCGTCTAGCCGTCCTGCACGGCCAAGAAGATCAACCATACATGTAGACAGATTAGCAGTGGGCTCAATACCCAAGGTTTCACGCATAGAAACAAATATCTGACGTCCCTGTTCCACAAGTCCCGTGTGACTGCAGGCCGTGAGCACGCCAATGAATGTTACATCGTTTGGCTTTATCGTGGTCTTTGTTACCATGTGATGGAATAAATCTATTGCAGCCTGAGCACGGCCATGCATAGCGAACCCCATGATCATAGAACTGTATGAGAAGACATTCTTTGCGTTCATCGACTCAAAAACCTTTAGAGCATCGTCTACTTTGCCGCATTTTGAGTACATGTCGATCAAAGCAGACCCAACAACGACATCGTGACTTGGATCAAACCCAGATTTCCGAGCAATGTCACGGACCCAATCGCCGTACTTGGTTGCTCCTAGCTGCGCACAGGCCGAGATTACGCCAACGAGAGTGACTTCATCGATTCCAATTCCTGAATCCTGCATTTTCCTGAAATATTCTAGAGCTTTCCAGGGTCTAGCATTCTGCGCAAATCCTGTCACCATTGCGGTCCAAGCAACCATGTCCTTCGCAACCAAGCCCTCGAATAGTTCATCGGCAGACACCATATCCCCAGCTCTCGCGTACGCAACAATGAGCTCGGTCCACGAGATCAAGTCTCGTTCCGGCATTTCGTCGAACACCTTACGCGCGCAATCTAGACATCCGCATCTCACGTACATATCTATCATGGTGTTGCCCACGTACAAGTCGGAAGCAAACTGACCAAGAATAATTGACTGCGCGTGAAACTGCTGACCCAAATTCACGTCGTTAACCAAACCGCAAGCTTTCAAAAGCGCCGAGAAGGTGAAAGAAACAGGTCTGATTCCTTCTTCCCTCATACGGCCATACATGGACACGGCTACAGCAAGCGAACCTTGCACTGCATACCCACGAATCACTGCAGTCCAGAGAAACGGGTTCCTGTACTGGACAGGCTCAATGATGCGGAGAGGGTACCGATCCATGGGCACGCCAAGCTTGGTAAGCGTGCGAACGAGCTTCGAGAGAACGTAGCAGCTTTGATCGAGACCTTTGCGAAAAACATGGCCGTGGACTTGCTTGACTTGACCGATTCCGATGCATTCATCAAGCGTAGAGATGAGCGATGATTCAAGAAGTTTGCTTTGGTTATTTATCTCGGAGAAAGGATCGCAAAAGTTGGCCGGTCTCGGTTGAAACTTTTGGCGAGGAAGGAAGCTTACCGGGCATGCAACTGTAGAGAATCTACGAGAAAGAGGTATCATAACAGCCGGCGACATCCTGGAACTCGCCGGAAACAATGGAAAATGGCTTCCACATATTATCCACATCGAACACTTAGCGCCGGCGATGCCATTTTTGATGAATCCGCCCTGCACTCAGTCATACCCGATCACTCCCCCTCTGTTGCTTTTCCCTGAAGAAGGCGGTTTTGACACAGGACAGGACTGGCCCTACTTATTGGGCTTACAAGGCTTTTTACGAAACAAGTGGACCAAAACATTGGGCCGAAGTCCAGTCTTAGGCCCACAACATATAGATCCATGAGACACGTGTCAGATTCGATACCCTGAAGAGGATACGAAATCTCATGTAACGCCGACACGCGGCGAAACATTAAACAGCGTAAAAGGATGTCCGTACGCAAGGGCGCGTGATATCACGTGCGAGGACAAAGGGGCGGTGAAGGTCACGTGGTGCGCGCGTGTGGAAGAGAAACCCAGAGTATATGTGTAGTATATTATCTCCAATGGATAAATGTATTGGACTTTTGTGAAATCTTTTCGGTACATGGAAAGTAATCTACGCTCTGATTTTATATAATATTTTTGTTTTTTGTTTTTTTTTGTCAAATATATAATATTTTTGTTGTAAACTATTTTTACATTTTTTGTCGCGATTGTCAGGAAATCTCGTAGGCCAGGGCTATTTTAAGAAATTGAAAAGGAGATTTGGACTAAGTAAATGATAAAAAAATATATATATTATCAATTCAAAAAGAAGAAGCCAAAGGAACTTAAAAAAAGAAATATTATTATTGTTATTGTTATAATTAGTATGTTAGATTATAAAAAAAAAAAGAAAAATAAAACAACAGAGGCGTTTGTGGACGGCGGAAGCACACGTGCCGGTCACCTGATAGTCGATGTGTGCCCCGTAAAAAAAAGTTATCTAACAAACAATTAATATTCAAAATTTTACGTTTTAAATTTTACTATTTTTATTTTATAAATATATTTCAATGTTATATTATTTCACGTTTCTATGTGTCCAACCGTATGTAATTTGGTAAGTGCGGGGCTGTGTCATGTGTGTATGTGCGTATATATTGTAAATTTAAAATCAGAATGATGGTTGAATGCTGACGTGGCAAACGTCTCAAATGGAAGACAACGAACCTATTCAAAAAAGAGCAAGCTGCTTTTCGTGCGATAATCGGATCTCAGACCCTCACGGTGGTGGTGCGGCGGTGACTCTGACCCTGTGCCGGTAATGACGCTTGTTTCAATGATGATCCCGGTTTGAATTCCGTCTCTTCTCGCTTCTCTCTATCATGGGATCCACAAACGAAGAAGGTGCGATTCTCGTTTTATTCGATCATTTTTTACGATTAGCGAAATCTATGTGGTTTCTAATGGAATTTGTAGAGGATTTTGACAATGTATTAGGAGAATTAGGCGATTTAGATTGTCTTCATTTTTTTTGTTTTGGTAGATTTGGATTAAGAAAGAAATGGCGGATTTCAGGTAGTTTTTGTGTTCAATTTTCCATTTTGAAATTAGGGTTACGGCTAAGGGTGTAATTTTGATTATGATATAGGAAAGGATGTAGAGATTTGAGCTACATTCTTTGTATTTTGATTGATTTTTTGTCGTATGATTTGAAAAAACAAAATGGGAATGTGATTTTACCAGAGGATCTCGAGAAGGGTCAAGGGAGTCCGATGACGAGTATTGTAAGTACTGTGGCGGATCTGTCGCCAACTCCCACCCCAAGAAAGACTCTGGTTCTGTCTAATTCAGGCAAAGCCTTATTGGTTTCCAACTCGAGCAAATCTCTAGGAGGGTCTAACTCAGGTAAGCGACTCGATCAGTCGATCAAGAAGAAGTATGTGAAGCAGGTCACAGGTCGCCACAATGACACCGAGCTTCACTTGGCGGCCAAACGTGGAGATGTGGCTGCTGTCAGGCAGATTCTCAGTGACATTGATTTCCAGATGATGAATACTTTTAACGAGGATGATTTTGACTCCGAGGTGAGAGGTTTTTTCACTCTCTCTTTACCATTGTGTCTCCTATCTGCATAAATGATGTGTGTCAGTGATGTTTTTCTGTGGAAATCATGTTCGGTTGCATTCATTAACACGAATTCTCTTTGACATCTTTCATGTTTGTCCGGATTATTAGTAGTCTAAAAATACGATATAAATCTCAAAGTCAAGTCTGATTAGGCAGTCTTTTTTGTGTAAAATAAGTTGGGGTAATATGAAAACTAATTTAAGCTTGGGCATAATCAGATTGCCTTCTAAATGGGGGTGTGTTATTGATATTCTTATATTGAATCCAGTTTGTCTATGTGAAGTAACACTGATTTTGCTCTTGTTATTCTTGGAATAAGAATATTAAAGGTTCGTAAAGAGAGAAGAGTCTCCTTTTGTTTTGGGTATATGGATTTGAATGTTCGATTAGCCTAAATACAAAAAAAAACAAATAAAAAACTAGTTCGACAAGGCAACTTCTATCTAAAACAGCACGATCCAAGATGAAAAATTAGTAGATTGTATTGATGATTTTTACTTTTTTTTGTTGGAAACCAAGGTAGCACAAATAAGAATAGCTGTGGTAAACGAGGTGAATGAGTTGGGAGAAACTCCTCTTTTCACAGCAGCCGAGAAGGGACACCTAGATGTTGTCAAGGAGTTATTGACATATACGACCAAAGAATCACTCATGTTGAAAAATCTGTCTGGATTTGACGCATTGCATATTGCTTGCAGTCAAGGTCACCAATGTAAGTGTCAATATGAAGACCCTTCAACATAATCTAGTTTCTTTTCTGTTTTTAAGTGAACAACAATTTTGGTGATGCAGCTATAGTCCAGGTATTGCTAGAGCATGACCCAAATCTGAGTAAAACAGTAGGACAATCAAATGCAACGCCACTTGTATCAGCGGCAACACGAGGGCATGCAGCAGTAGTAAATGAATTGCTTGCTAAAGACTCAAGCTTGCTAGAGATATCCAGATCAAATGGGAAGAATGCGCTTCATCTTGCCGCCCGTCAAGGGCATGTTGATATCGTGAGAACATTTCTTGACAAAGATCCACAACTTGCAAGACGAACAGACAAGAAAGGCCAGACATCGTTGCACATGGCGGTAAAAGGTGTTAGCAGTGAAGTAGTGAGGTTACTTCTTCAAGCTGATCCAGCCATTGTCATGCTCCCTGATAAATTCGGAAACACGGCATTACATGTGGCTACCAGAAAAAAGAGGGCAGAGGTAATTGATCACTCTTTTCATCATACATTCTCTTTATCATTTGCCCAATCAATTTTAACTTTTTTTTTTCATGTTTACAGATTGTGAATGAGCTTTTACTTCTTCCCGATACAAATGTAAATGTCCTAACACGAGACCACAAAACCGCCCTTGACATAGCTGAAGGCTTAACTCATTCAGAGGAAACAACAGAAATCAGAGACATATTATCCCGTTGTGGCGCCCTCAAAGCCAACGAACTCAACCAGCCTCGTGACGAGCTGAGGAAAACGGTAACGGAGATAAAAAAGGACGTCCATAGCCAACTCGAACAAACCCGAAAAACTAACAAAAACGTCGACGGGATCGCCAAGGAACTCCGTAAACTCCACCGAGCCGGAATCAACAATGCCACAAACTCAGTCACTGTCGTTGCAGTTCTATTCGCCACGGTTGCATCAACAATGCCACAAACTCAGTCACTGTCGTTGCAGTTCTATTCGCCACGGTTGCATGCCCAGCCATATTCACGGTGCCTGGAGGCGATGATGATAACGGAGTGGCTGTGATGGTTCACGCCACTTCGTTCAAGATATTCTTCATATTCAATGCTATTGCTCTCTTCACTTCGCTAGCTGTCGTGGTTGTACAGATCACCCTTGTAAGGGGAGAGACAAAATCCGAGAGACGGGTCGTGGAAGTGATCAACAAGCTTATGTGGCTCGCCTCTGTCTGCACGACTGTTGCATTCATCTCTTCTTCATACATAGTTGTCGGGAAACGCAATAGGTAAGTTAACAGGTGATCATTTCGATTTTTGGTTCAGTTTCGATTTGTAACTATTTAGTATTTATATTGAATTCGATTTAGTTTGGATTCTATTTGGTTTTTATTAACAAATACTATTTTTTATATAAAAAATTCGATTTTTCTATTATTTGTGTATCCAATTTTAGAAAAATTATACGCATTTGGTTTTTACATTAATGAACCGTATTACCCATCCTTATAGGTATGCGGCAGTGGTGATCACGGTCATCGGAACAGCAACAATGGTTGGAATTCTGAGTATAATGACTTACTACGTCGTGAAATCCAAGAGGATCCGGAAAGAGAGAAAGAAAGAGAAGAAGAAAAAGGCGAGGAGTGCTGGCAGTTCTTGGCATCATCACCATGGAAATCCATCAGAGACTGAGTCAGAAGTAAACCGGATTTACGCTATCTGAAATCGTTATGATATTCCCAAAAAAATCTGAGTTTCGAATATCTGTGAGGTGTGGTTTTCCTGGGAAAATTCTTGCTTGTGACGCAAGAAACATAGGAAAGTGAGAGAAAAAAAGAGGAAGAGGAAACCTATCGTTTTCTTCCTCTCAAACGGAACTTCAAGTGGAGAAAATAGTTGTTTGACATATGAAGGGGTAAAGAAAATAGAAACGTTTATTGGCAGATTGTTTATGATTCATATAAAAAAGAAAAAAAAAATATAATTTTGTTCTATAAGCATTGGTTTTTTATATATGTATATTATATATTCTTCACAACAATTATTATTTTTTATTTTTTATGGTCAATTAACATATTTATACTAATGTTAAATGGTGGATATAGATATAGTTTTTTTTTTTAACTCACTAGATCATGTTTTGTTACAATCTTATTCTATTCATAACTCAGAATATTTCCACAATTTTTTCAGGGAAACCCCCATGCGTTTGTCAAATTTGATATATATATATATATATATATATATGAAGATGGGTAATATTACTGAACATGTAAAGATAAAAATAATTAGTTTCGTTATTTGATAATCATAGCATATAAAATTATGTCCAAAAATGAAGTAATAGCACGGACGTTATAAACTCAACAATACATCACAAGTCAGAGTTGTCTTTTTATATATATATATATATATGTAATTACGATTTCAGTGAAAACCCTATAATAATTTAAAATTTGACAGAATTGAGGGGGTTTAATGTACTTAATATACCAATACTTTCGGGGAGATACTGATATTATCGACCTTCAAGGAGTTCATGATCTGTTGCCAATCATTAAATAATAATTCTTAATTATAAAAAATAATGGAATTAAAATTTAAATGGACGGCTTTGCATGGTATTTGACTACTCGGAAACTTGGTTTCGGGGCAATCGCCTAAATACCCCTTAAAATTCCCCTCGGCGCGTGCATTCTACGCGACTCTCACGTGTTCTCCCTGGATTTTTGTGGGCCTTTTATAAGGAGCCTGCCGTCTATTGGGTTTGAGCTTTTATCTACCAATGGCCCAGTATTTTACACATTTTTCTTATAATTTAGACCATTTAATATATACCTTTTTTGCTAGAATAATGTGAAAAAACCATATTTTCTGATATACATCGTTTTTCGTTTTTGGATTTTTGAAATTTATAATTTTTTGGTATGTTTTTTTAAAATCTTTGATTTGTTTGACTATCTAAAATAACTTAATTAAAAAAAAAGCGGATGTGGTCTTCCTCGTCGTACATATACCGATATACGTACTACGTAACGTAGACGGACAAATAATTTAAGAAAATGATATATTTTTTCACAATTGTTATTTTTATTTATTTATTTCTATAATATTTCTTTCCGTGTGCCAAGTTCCGGGTATCCTCCTGCTCCTCAGAAATTAGGGTTCTCGGAGGAAGAAGAAGAGAGAGGCTCTTCGACTCCTTTTTCTCACACTGATTCAGGTAAAAGTTTAACTCTTTCGATATCTCTCATCTCCCCTCTTGCCCCTTTGTTTGGTTTGGTTTGGTTCGGCACATCAAATGCGGACCTAATTGGAGCTCTCTATTCTCCGTTCGTTCCAGATTAGCTGATTTCCCGAGGGCAATGGCCTCTTTATTCAAGGTAAATGAGCTCCAACTTGGTTTTGTAGCGTTAGATGTTAGATTTTGCGGGGGTCGTAAGGGTTCTGTGAGAATTGCGGAACACATTCCTCGGTTTCTTTCGGACCGCATAGTAAATTTCAATTGCTTGTAGTACGAGCTGAAACTGTGCTTAAAACGTCGAGCGCTTGGTCTTTCGTTTATGTTGCAAGTCGATTTTTAACCTATTCCTTGCGCGCTTGCGGCGGAGTGATATATACATATACATCGTGGGCTCGGTGTGGAACATGCGTTTTCTGAATCTTGTATGAGGTTTCTATTCGATAGTCTTATCTTGTAAATTTATGTTGTTTTGGGTCTCGGATAGACATGGATTGAGTGATGTTGGAACCTACTGTCTGTCTTGCATTTCGTTTTTCTGGGTTTTTTTTCCCTAATTGCGTGAAGGATGGATTTCTCGTTTTGATTTCGTGCTAAGTCCGTTCAGGCAGTTCTTTGGTGATGTTTTTCTACTGGATTAATGTGAGAAGCCCTTACTATATCATTTTGTTACCAGGATCAAGTGAAGCTATCAGCCTATAGGGACAGGAGATTCCCAGGAACACAAGAAGAGTTCGAAGAGGCACTTCGGACATCTTCAACTGTTTACATCGGGAATATGTCTTTCTATACAACTGAAGAACAGGTTTACGAGCTTTTTTCCAGGGCTGGAGAAATAAAAAAGATAACCATGGGGTTGGATAAGAACACGAAAACACCCTGTGGCTTTTGTTTTGTCCTGTAAGTTTCATATCTCCTATCATGCTTTTTCCCTTTGTGCTTGGCCGCAAGTTAAAGTCTTAACAGCTTCAAATCTGTCACTCTGGGCGCATTAAACGATGGATGCTGATTTGCTGTCACCTGGGATATGTTTTATCAGGTTCTATTCCAGAGAGGACACAGAGGATGCAGTCAAATATATAAGTGGAACCATTCTGGATGACCGGCCTATTCGTGTGGACTTTGATTGGGGATTCCAAGAAGGTAGACAATGGGGTCGTGGTAAAAGCGGTGGACAGGTAGCTGCCATACCTGCTTGCTTAAGTCTTTCTGTGTTTGATCTGCTGTGCGTGTTTTCTGATCTAAATTTGAATTGTCTTGCAGGTTCGAGATGAATACCGTACAGATTATGATCCTGATATCCTTTCAGATGTCATATATCATTGTTTGTTTTTAGTTAATCGCATGATTCGTTTACTATTTTGCTCTCCATTTTTGAGGCACAATCATATGCATATTTGTGAATGAGATTGATCTCTCAGCAATAAATTACCAACATATCTTCGTTTGTCTTTAACACATCTATACGTAGAGGAGGTTATGGAAAATTAGTTCAGAAAGAACTAGAAGCACAGAGGCAGCTTGTTGATTATGGTGCTGGGTCATTGGGATCTTTTCCACCAGTCCTGCCATCGAACTGTAAGTTCTTATATTTAACGAGATAATCTTCCTTGGTTTTATACTTTTTTAACTCTGACAGATGATCGAAATGCGGAAAAATAATGAATATGAGGCCAGTGTCATCTGGAACTTCATCTATATACAATCTATGGATTTAGCTCTTTGGAGACCTTGATATGCATCTCGTCTTTCTAATCACTTTTGCATATTGGTCATCCAGACGGAAGGCACGGTGGAGGCCATGGCCATGGAGGTTCATATCGCCATGGTAGAGGTGGTATGTGTTCCCAGTTAACATATATAGTAACATCACTCACAATTTTGGTGTTCAAAATTCATTTGCTTGGTGTTATTTTATTGCAGATCACCATCGTAAACGATACAGAGACGATGATCGCTATGGACGGGAGCCCTCGAAAAGAACATCGGATCACGAATCTAGAAGAGACTCTGATCATGATATGAGACCGGTAATTAGTTATACGCTTCTCTTTTTTGCTATCAGCGCATTACGCACCGAGATGGATTGCGTCTCTGTTGTTCAAATCTCTTCCCCAACTTAGCTGTGGGATGATTTTAATCTCTACCAAAACCCTAAAGAAAACCAAAACCAGCAAGGGAACTCGATCAGAGTTGTTTTAACATACAATGCGACGTTATGAATATTTACTTTATGACATTTTTGGGTATTACCTGTCAATTTTCGTAGGAGAAAAACCCGAGATTTCGAGAGACGGAAGAGAAGATCTTAAGAACTTTTAAAAAAATTTAAGGTTGGGGAGCTTGAATTGTTCGTTTCCTCGTCTTATGGAGGATCAGTGTGCGGCCGAAGAAACATCTTTACGCACTGTTTGTCAGTCTGAACTCAAATCCAGTGCCAAGATATTTCTCTCTTGTCTGAATTTCTTATCTACAGTTATGTACAAGCAGTTCTGGTTACATGAACACTCTGACACTAAGCCCCCTTGTCAAAATTTAGACAAGAACAGAAATGAAATCATGTTCCATCGCACAAGGATTTTTTGAAGAACTTAGCTAGTAACGTATATATTATATGTATGTATTAGGGGAATAACGGTATAAGGTTTTTGCAGACTGAATTGGATTGAAATGAAAAGTACACAAGTGTGGACTGAAGAGTATAAAACCCAAAAGTATTTTAACTTAGAATGTGTTTTAAAATGACATGACACAATTACAAATACTTTGTGTATTTGTTCTTAAGGCATGGACTCCTCTGAACCCTCCAAGCTCTTGTAGTACTCTTCCATGGTCTCATATTCGTTCGTATGGTAGTTCTCCCGAGCATTCTCGTACCGGTTAGGGGTATTTTCGCCATTTTCAGGGTTTGGGTCGACGCCATAGTAGTACTTTCCATTCTCCATAAACCTCGTATCGCTCATCCCCTGTCTCTCTCCGCCGTACCCTCTCGCGTTTTCATTGTAATGGTTGCTCTTGTAGCTCATAGCAGTAGTACTGTAAGTATACCCATTGTTGTTGTTGCTGTTGTAACGGTACTCACCCTTTTGCCCATTTGTGTCTTCGGAATCATCGGAGCTTTCTTCCTCGTCAAACTCTTCACTTAACTTGTCGAGGTCGTAGTTTTCCACTTCCGATCTATCCGTCTTCCCATAACCTTTGTCCTGATCGAACTTTTCCATAAGCTTGTCAAATTCTTCATCCGTGGTGGTAGATGATGATGATGATGGTACTGGCCACGACTCTTTAGTCTGTGGAATCATCCCGGACCCTGGTCCAAAATGGCCATCTCCGGTTCGTCCACCCACTTGGACCGGACCGGGAGCCGGTGCCGGAGCCGGAGAAACATGGGTCGGTTTAGGATTTGGGCCCACGTCACTGTTAGCACCTAAGTGAGTGAACTTGCTAAAGAAGAGCTTCCCCTCTCTTGCGTTAACGTTGACACTGAAGCAAAAAAACGCCACGAGGAGGCAAAAACTATAATACCTCGCTACAAAGGAAGCCATCAAGAACAACAACAAACAAACAAACAAACAGGACGAAGGGTTCTAGGGTTTTGTATAGCTGTGGGTTTGAAATGTATTGGTGCGAGAGAGATGTGTGTGTGTGTGTATATATATATACACAGAGCTGTGAAAAATGAGCAAGGAATTGACCGACCAGACATGCGAGGATTGAGGAGAGACAATTACGGGTTCCCGAAAGAAGATGAAATTAAAGGCATATGATTCCACTATACTATTCCAGTATTTACGTATATGCCACTGTTTCGGTAGTTGAGTTAGTTAATATGAACATATATATATAGATGGATTGAGTGGAAGAATTGGTGGGTCTAATTGGGATGAGAAAAATCATTGAAAAGTCAGAGGGATGTGTTTGGGGCCCAAAGGACTATAAAGAGATATGAAGAAGATTTGAGAAGATTACGTAATATTTAGATTTGATTTTATTTCTATATTTTAGATATTTATATTTATTAAATAAGATATTTTATGATTTTGTTTCTGCTATAAATATTGTAATGTTACATGTTGAATAATGAGAAATCCAATGATTCTTCATCTCTTTCTCTATTATGGTATCAGAGCTTCGGTTTTTGTTCTAAATATTTTTTTTTATATCAACGATGTTCGTTGAATTCGAAAACGATGATGAAGATGACGATGATATACTAACTTCAATAGTATCATCACCTTGAGTATCGTCTTCCATTCATTTTTTTTTCCATTTTTTTCCGACGACGGTGTTTATCACTGTCAACCTTAGCCGATGTGCTTCTCTTTTTTTTTTCTGCCGACCTCATTGTCGTGCAACCCAACTCGCGCATATGCGCCGCACATCCGTGCCACATCAGCCTTTGAATCCGGCTTTTAACCTCTTCGATTGGAATACTCCGATCGTCGATCCATACATTTGCACCATCTTCTTTTTTTTCGGCTTTAGCCGCGTGCATTTGCACCATTTATTTTCTTTTTCCAGTATAGCCGCTAAACCATCGCGCCTTTTGCGCTGCCGACATTGCTGTCGCACAACCCCACAATACCGTGCATGTGCACCACGCTTCTGCTTCACCGGACTTTTTCAGATCCGCCAACAATCCACCGGTTCCTAGGTTCGATTGTCAAATCCCGTTATTTTCTGGAGAATTCAACCTCAAGCAGTTGTTTCTCATCTCCTTGAGTTTGAGGGGGCGTATAAAGAGATATGAAGAAGATTTGAGAAGATTAGTAATATTTAGATTTGATTTTATTTCTATATTTTAGATATTTATATTTATTAAATAAGATATTTTATGATTTTGTTTCTGCTATAAATATTGTAATGTTACATGTTGAATAATGAGAAATCCAATGATTCTCCATCTCTTTCTCTATTAT